CTGAAGACTATTTACGAGCGAATGCCGATCGAAAACGTGAAGATTATTTTAAAGTAATATGTGTAATAATATTTCAAAAAGTATCTTGGCTCCCAGGTCCACTTAACCTGAAGTGGGTATCAGGTAAAGTCCTGGGACGTAAAAGCGGCCGGGCATGATGCTGACTACATCACCAACCTCGTGCCGATTGGTCTTAAAATATAGGTCAAGTCCGATACGCCTGAAGGCGTGGAATATTAGCATTCACGTTATTTCTGTATATCATAACTGAGCAATGGTTCCCAGCCAGTTGGCACCAAGTTGCAATATGCTTTGCCGTCAAGCGCAGCTCATCTTATATCTTCTCAATCTGTCCCTTGTATTATTTGAATATCTTCTCAGTTTTCGCCTTGTGCGTATTCCTTCCGGTCTGCGCGTTCTAGTATAAGGACTTCTCGTTAATATTATCAGGTTTTCTCAACACTTGTCCTGTCCAATTAGAGCAGTGGCTCTCAGCCTTCCTAATGCGGTAACCTTTATTACAGTTTCTCGTGCTAAACATACAATTATTATCGTTGCTTCTACATAACTTCAGTAAATATGTGTTTTCCCATGGTCTATGGCGACCCCTGTGTTCGAAACACAAAAGGGTCGCGGCCCACAGCTTGAGACTTGAGAACTGCCGAATTAGAGCCTCTTTTCCTAACCTCTTGGATTAGAGAGCTATCAAATTTATAACTGGATATTTTACGAACGGACGAAAGAGGGAGGTAACTCTCGGCAATGAGCTCTAGCTGACGTGAAACTTTTCGTAAACAGTTGAGTACACTGTGACTACACAGATCTGCGAAGTAGCTTTCATGTAGAAAGATCACAGCATTTGCATCCATTATATATAATATTTACTATTTATTACTTAATATGATATTAATTGTTATTTTCTTCTTCTGATCTTAGTTTTCATGATTATGTTTTGTTTATACCGTCCGTTAGCGATTTCTGCATCAACGCTTGACACATATGTTCGTCGGAGGAAGTCCGCATTTTACACACGACTGATGCCCTGTTATTGTATTTGTTTGGCCACCATAATGTGGGGTAGAAGTTCGAAGGAGAGCCCTTTTTTTAATGAACTTTTTTGGGCTCTCCTCCGAACTTCTACCCCGGCCAAACAAATACCATAACATGGCCTCAGTTGTGTCTAAAATGCGGACTTTCCGCCAAGGGACAAATCGCGGCAAAACTATGATTACTGTATGATTTCTACTTTGATTACTGTATGATTTCTACTTTGATTACTATGATTTCAAGAGACGCAACACTGCAGACGATAGTATCAGACGATAATAGCGACCGTTGACAGTTTTGAGCGTTTCTGCAGATGATACTAGCCACCATTTACAGTTTCGAGACACGCAACATTACAGACGATGATATGGAGATGGGTGGGAGACCACGCGCTCCGACGCACATTAGCGATAATGTTCTTCCAATTAAACTCACCGCTGAGCGTATCTGCCGCTCGGCGCGGATGGGGATCTAAACTAGATGCCTGGGACTTGCGAGCAAATAAATTGGAGGAAGTTGCAGGAGATGCGGTAGCTGCTGCTCGTGAGTCCCAGCCATCTAGTTTAGCCCCCCCCCCCCCCCCCCCATTCACGGGGGATACTGTCAGCGGTGCGGCATAGTCGCAGAAACAGGTCCGCAATTAACATATCACTGAGACCCTGTTAGAGCATTTGTTTCGTTTTTCGGAGCCGATCCTAGTTTTGCCGCAATTTGTTTCTCAGCAGGTAGTCCACAAATCCTCATTTTACACAGAACTGAGGCCCTGTTATGGTATTTGTTTGGCCGGGGTTGAAGTTCGGAGGAGGGCCCTTTTTTGAGTTTTAGACTTAATAATTAAATTAACTAAGTTCCATCTTTTTTCCACACTTTGTTTAGTTGACTTTTGAGTACTTTAGTTTAGTCAGGTGTTCTGAGTTAAATATTGCAACCATTACTGTATTTGCCTAGCACTTGAACAAAAATGCAGTCCAACAGTACCTCATTCAATGATGCGTCAGTTCTTAGCCAATAATATTATTAATGAGTGTAAAATTATATAAATACTGTTACTAATTAATGTTTATATAATTTTATAATATAATTTATAATGTAATTTAGGGATGCTATGGAATTTTTATATATTGGATTTTACTTAGGAAGCCATCACAGCTAGATATAGATTACAATATTCAGTTCAATGATACTGCATTGAAGCCTTTGAGTCAGTTATAAGTGGAGATTATATAATTTTAGGGCTATCCTCCGAATAAAGGTAATGTTGTGAATTTCTGGGGAAATCCTAGAGAGTTTCCGATGGGGAGGACAAGGTCAGAGGACCAGTGATACAAAAGAAAAATGAGATAAGTGGGTCTTGAATATCCCGTGGTGAGTTAAATAAGGGTTACAAGAAAAGCATGAGACTGGAACGGAAGATGTGAACCGAGAGACGGGAGTAAGGCAGTTGAAGTTCGGACCTGGTTGCGAGAGTATGAGTGAACGCCTGAGGAGAATGGAGGAATTGTGAATACTTGTAATGTTTCGAGAGAAGATATGAATGTTTCCTACATGTACTAATACCAGGTACAAGGATGACTGTGTGATTCGAGAGATGCGGATGGACCAAAGCAATGTGTGAAAGGATTGACCAGGCCGTCAGAAATCAGCCAAGCAGAACGTAACACGGGGACAAAAGAATGTGTGCCTGTGTTGTGTTGTGATTCAGCGAATAAAAGTATACAACTGAACATTCGTCTCTGCTGTGTCATCGCAACTAAATGTTTGTCATATAGCAAGGTGGCATGAAAGAACATAACCAGCACATTGCAATAACGGTCCCAAATTATCGAGGTGGAAAATATACCCTAACAGGGCCTCAATCACATGTAAATTGCAGACTTCCAGTGGCTACCGCCACTGCCAAGAGTATCTCCCACACCGCTACGCGCGTCTAAACTAGATGGCTGGGACTCAGGAGCAAATAAAATTAAAGAAGCTGCAGGAGATGCAGGAGCTGTGGCTCGTGAGTCCCAGCCATCTAGTTTAGCCCCGCTCCGCAACATGTGTAGCGGCACGGGAGATACTCTCGGCGGTGGTGGTAGTCGCCGGAAGTCCGCAATTTACATGTGACTGAGGCCCTGTTAGGGTATATTTTCGGCCTCCATAATTTTGGACCGTTATTCTGAGGATAGCCTATTTTAGTTTCAGATACCAACATAGACTCATGGTTAAATCCTTCAAAAGATGGAGACCGAACTGCATCACAGTCAGTAAAATTTTGGGTTGAAATTACTAAATTTGTGCATTTTATAGAAACTATTTTGTATACCAATTGTAGGCTGGAATATGGAGGCAGCAATGACTACCACCATAAATATAATTCAGTGAGCTGAAATAACAGCTTGTGATTTGGACTCTCATGAAACAGCTGGATTATCTGGAGTCTCATGTAATAGCAGGATTGGACTCATGTAACAGCTTCATTATCTGGACTGTCATTTAACAACAGGATTATCTGGTTTCTTATTTTAACAGCTGGATTATCTAGATTTAACTGTGACATTGCCCTCGTGCCCAGCATGTAAAATAAATTAAACACACTTTCGTGGAGGGTAATAAAAGTTAGGTCTTCTTCAATGTTTGCCTTTACAAGTGTCGTATGCACGTTATGTTGTGGTCTACAGCTAGACTGATATATATGAGCTTTTCATCCCATCACTTCTGATTTCAGCAAATTCTTCATTAGTCACCTTTCAGCACATGCTTGTTGAAGGCTAGTGGATCTATTGTTTTTCTTTCAAAACAGGCCGTGTGTAGCCACACGAGGACTTTAGGTCAACCATATCATCCTGAGAAGCGACAAAGCTGACATTTTCGGTTAGGCTCATTTCCCCATAAATGTCACTTTACTGACTTTTCTAAGGTGACATAAATAAAGAAATGCTTAGTTAACGCTGTTGGGTTTTCGTGCCTGTGCAGTGTTAAGATCAACAGCACATAATTACTGAAAAACGCCATTTAGGAGTGTTTTTATTGCGAGCCGATGGCTTTTATAAAGCTGAGTTGACATCAAACTTTCTGTTAGCCTCAGTGTTAGAGGTCATGGGGTCGCTGCATGAGTCACCCGATACATATATTTTTGAGGCTCCAGAGGATGTATTTTATTTAATGCTTCACTCTCTTCACGTTTATTAATCACTCTTTAGACTAAAAAGATTTAAATAAATAAATTTTTACAAAAATTGTTAGTACCCTGTGTAAAATTGTTGTAAGCATTTTTTCTGGAATTCCCACATGGTCATGAACCTTTTTTTTTTTTTTTTTTTTTTTGGTGTTGTTTTTTTTTTTAGCATTCTTTGTTTGAAAGGGTAAGACAAGGATAATGAAAATAAACTAAGCAATTGGTAATCTGGTCACCCTTGGTGAAACCTCACTTCAGGAGATTCAATGATACAAGAATGTAGGTATCAGTGTGGACAAAATGGGAACATTCACAATGACATTGGAATAAGCTTAGTAGCAAGAAATTGATGGAAGTCAGCAGAAATTAAATATAATGCTAAACTTAAGATATTTAACATTTACCTTAAATCAGTACTGTTGTGTGGATTAGAAACTTAGAGAATGACTTATACGAATGCTAGTGACCTACAAATATTCATTAACTCATGCCCGGGCACAAAACAGCGAATAGTATAATAGAAACACAGATGTGGAGCTTATGGGAAGAACTAAATATGTGAATTAGGAGGTGAGAAAAATTTGTTGACACTTGATAGGACATACAGTGGGAAAACTTGTTAATAATTTAACTAGAATGTCCTTTCTGTGGAATCAGCAGGGGAAAATAAATTGTGGGAAGCCTACAATTACATGACAAGAATTGGGGATATTTAGAAAAATATGCAGATATGTTGTATATTTCTTATTGCAGATATTTAAAAATAAAAAAGAACCTCAACAGTACACATACAAAGATGTCTGAATTTGAAAATGAGGGATTTTTCCAGTCTAATTATTATGACAACCAAAGTTATGGATATGATCCCAACGCTGAAGCTCAGTTTGGACAGGAACCGTAAGTAAATTACATCTGGTTTAAATCTTTTCTTTTTACAGAATCACATAACTAAGTAGAAGTAGCATTTCCGAGCCTTAATCCATTTGCCCTTTCTGCGTCTGTACAAACATTCAGTGTAACAAGGTATGACTAAACTTACCATAGATAGCCTTTAGTGGGGTTTCCTCTTAAACAGTTGCTTTATTTATAGGCTTTTCTGTATCATAATTTTACCATTGTTGGATGACAGGGTCAAGTAAGTGTTGTGCTATAATTAGTTTACAGGCCCCAAGAGCTTTAAACCAGTTGATTCTATGCTGCGTTTGTTTTTATTTGCTACTCCCCTTACTGTGTGTGTATTAATTTTTTTAATGATAAATTCATTTTGTGCGTGTGTGTGTGCGTGAGAGAGAGAGAGAGGTGTAAAATGGTAATTTTGTACTGTTTAGCTTTTTCACCCCATCTCAGTGGCTGTGAGATTTGGTAGGGAATTCCTAGAGATTTTCCCTGATGGTCCTGTAGTATATAGGGGTTAGAGTTAGTTTCCCCTTCTTGTTCTTCTTTCGTTCACTTGAAATAAATTATATATATCTACAGTGTCGTTTCTAGTATGAACTTCTCATTATTCTATAATTCACTTAGATCTGTAAAGTTTTGCTTTAACCAGTGTTTCTTTTGGTCAGGACTTAGGCAGTGGGATGCCAACTGGGAATACTGGGGGGAGGGGGGGGGGGCTGAAAAGGAGTGCATACTCGTTGGTTAGGGTTATATGCATGAATGATGATAGGTCAGGAAAATTCAGGGTGAAAGCAAAGTCAGAAAGTAAGAACTCCACTTGCAAACAGGGCAAAGTCATGAGGAAGAATGAACAAAAGTAACACACACTGGAAATGATATCTCAGTCAACAATCAACTCGCTGAAAACAGCCAACACATGGCACGCCTAGAACATAGCAGTTTTAGTGTTACTGTTAAATGTACACCAACTAACACTAAGCCTGACCCTAACCCCCCTATACTATAGTACCAGGCGTAGGGGATGACTCTGGTCAGATTTTTAAAAATCCTCCAAAAGAACCTGCAAAACCAACATTTCTTTCCATAAATATCACAACTTCCCCATAAATATAACTTTTTTGGGCTTGTCTAGTAACACTAAAACTGCTATGTTCTAGGCGTGCCATGTGTTTTACTAAATGTATAGTTAGTGCTCTTGGCAGCATTCACATCTGCGCAAACATTAAGGAGGTAATATATTTTAATATATTAACTAAAAATAGTGTTTAGAGTGTTTACCTATGGTCACTTGATAAGATTCTGATCAGAAGCATATCATAGATTTTCTTTATAGGATATTCAGGTGTGCCAGGTAATGAGCAGCCTGATAGATTGGCTGCTGCAGCTCCTCTGGGTGATGAACTGCATTGTGATAAGATGGAAGTAGTGATAGCTCTCTGGGATCAAATGGAGAGTGCAACAGAACAGATAGGGAATCCTTACATTGACAGACTAATTCAATGGGGGGGGGGGGGGGGTCTGGAAGATATTCAAAGCTGCAGAGAAAACATAGGCGGACTTTTAATCAAGTTGCAGCAGGTAGTTAGCATATTGACTCTTCATTGGCCACTGAAGAAGGAGACAGAGCATGTTTGGGAATGTCCAGGGTGAAGGGATGTTAATTCTTCATCCATTCATTCCTCTGAACCAGATAGGGTGTTTTTTTTTTTAAGTTCTTCTTAGCATTCACCAACTGTAAACTCTGGCGGAAAGTTCTGGTTGTTCATCCACTTATGGACTGCAGTTCTGTTCCAGAACCTAAGTTTTGTGTGTGCATCCCTTTTACAGATCTGACTCATTTGTATGCAGACTGCTGGTTCCTTGCCTCTCAGGCAGATGCACTCTGACTTCGAAGGAAGCTCCCAATTAGTTGACTCTTACAACGTGGTAGGCAGTGGTTCTGTTCTTGTTTTCTTTATAATAGGGCCCCAGAATCCACATGGGTATATGTTTTTTTTTAAAGTTGATATCAATATTATCTTAAGCTTCAGACAGGTCACAGTATCATACCATAAGTCACCTGTTATATTTTGTTTTGTTTTTCAGGCCTGAGGAATATATTCCATTTGATGCTTGACTCTGTTCATGTTTATTGATGACTTCCTTTATATTTCTTTGTATATGTGAAGAATAAAAGAATCTTTTATGCAAACATTCAATTTTAAAACAATTTTATTTATGGCCTGTATAAAATCATTTTTAAGCATTATTTGGGAAATTGCTATATTGTCAAAACCTTTTTTTTTTAAAGCTTTGCCAGGTGCCAGCATGACATTTCTGTCTTCACTGGTCCAAGATAAATTCTTTGTTAAGTTACAGATATGCAACACAGTTCCATAATTAACATTGCCAGTTTGTTCTTTGTTCTGTCAGCCAATTTGGCCAGTTTAATTACAACCAGGGGGGATATGCCGGAGGTTCTGCTTATGGAGTTGCTGCTGATCAGTCAATGTATACTGGGTCTATACTGACTCCAAGTCCCATTGCAGTGCAGGAAAAGCATGACACTGGAACAGATCATTATGAAGATGAACCACCTCTAATGGAAGGTGAGTCGTTCGTTCACTAAGCCGTTTAAGTGACAATAATGTACGTCACGTATTATAGAACACAGCTGGAAGGTTAATTAAAATACACATGTCAAACTTATGAGGGTATGTTCTGTTTATCGGTGATACAATTTTTTTTTTGGGGGGGGGGGGGGGGATATGATACAAGTAAAGTAAATTAAAGGACCCTTTTCCATGGCATCAGGCCTATTGGGTATATAGGGATAGACCTATATTGTATAGGCCAAACAGCACTTGGTCAGCATGTGGTCAGCATCACGCTGGACAGGCAGCCACAATTATTTTTGAAAAACGTCCGGCCCCTATCAAGACCCAAACTTATGACCTTCCAATCGGCAGGCGAGCATCTAGCCGCTAGACCATGGCGGCTCCCAATGATACAGGTATTGGTGACACATTTTGTATTTATGTTTAAAAATGATCAGACTGCAGTTGTGAAATCTGTGGTTTAATTTGTGTTTTGTTTTCATATTGGTACTAGGTTGTAGCTCAAGTGGTATTTTTTTGTATTTGTCTTATGCTTTTTGAATGCTTAAATAATGTATTGGTTCCCCTTTTTTTTTTCTTTGCACGTGTCATCCAAACCCTGTCTTTCACGGACTTCCTCTCTCACCTCCCGCCCATATGTTCTGAAATAGAAAGTCTTGTATATTTTATATCATTTATGTCATTCAGCCACTGAGATGTTGTCTTTATAATGAAGGTTGGCTGCAATGGATCACCAGCACTTTCTGTCTCTAGTCTTGGTTGTACTTTCTTAGACTGATCTTTGTTCTACTCTTATGTTATCCTCCCACTTATATCTTTATCTACCTCTTGCCCACCCACCTTGACCTTTTTCCTCCAGTATGGTTTTTGATGTAGCTGAACCATTTTGCTTCAGTAGTTTATTTCTTTGAACAACTTTCTATTCCGTTTTCCCAAAACCTCTGTGTTTGGTTTCCATATGATTCAGTCTATTCATCTGTGTAGCCACACCTACAGCACCTCAACTGGACTTTGTCATTGCTTGCTCATTGTCATTTCTGAGCAAGGTTTTTTATTTTTTAAAGACAAATGAATCTATTATTTTTTTTTCAACATCTTTATAATTTTACATCATTTGTAACAGTAGAAAACATTTGTGTGAATTTTGTTTGTTATTGCTGCAAATTTCAGCTGAATGTTGTAGTTGGTCCTTTGCAGAACCTTGCTCTCATCACAGTCTGCCTGAACAAGAATCCATCCTCTTGCCAGCCCTAGCACCTCTATATATTATTGAGTATGATCACATATATTATTGACTATGATCACAAATATTATTGACTGTTATTACATATATTGTCAACTATCATCGCAGATATTATAAGCTATGATCACATATATTAATAACAATGATCATATTATATATTATATTGAATGTTTTATATTTCAGAACTAGGGATTAATTTTGATCACATAGTTCAAAAGGTAAGATCTCTTTAATAAGTATTGTGTCTGTAATAATGAATTAATTCATGATGGGTAAAAGTTATGAGCAGAACTGATCACCACTTCACCTGTTCTAGACAGAGGTGGTCTCTTTCAGCATAATGGCTAACATAACACATCCATTACATGAGACAGGATCCCATCACTGACAGGAAAACAACCAATCTTGACTAATTTTGGGGTACTAAACATGAAAATGACATTAACATTTATTGATTGGCTCTTGATTCAGAAATTTAGATGATCATATGTAAACTACTCAGCCTGCATATAGAACAAATGTCAGCATTTCAAAACTCTGTGTTTTCAACTGCAGAATGTAACCTATTATATGATTTGCATCACCCAAACATGCACACTAATCATGGGAAGTATTACTAACCAAAAAGGGTTTAGTCGTTAGAAAAAAGCAAACTCAAGGAGTGTAAATAAGTAATTTCATCCGGGTACCTTGAATCTAGCAATAGGGATGCCTCATAAGTGTGTTTGTTAACAGTGCAGATAACTTTTGTTATATGTATGAGGATGTGACATTTGCAAGCCAGAAAAAGATCAGCACAGGCCAGGGCTGAATATATATGCTGCAGTGCCTGTGTAAGAAAATTCTCAAACGGATGGAAGGAGAAAATGTTTGTAGTACCTGTGTAAGAAAATTTTCAAGTGGATGGAAGGAGAAAATGTTTGCAGTTCCTGTGTAAGAAAATTCTCAAGTGGATGGAAGGAGAAAATGTTTGTAGTACCTGTGTCAAGTGGATGGAAGGAGAAAATGTGTGCAGTTCCTGTGTAAGAAAATTCTCAAGTGGATGGAAGGAGAAAATGTTTGTAGTACCTGTGTAAGAAAAATCTCAAGTGGATGGAAGGAGAAAATGTTTGTAGTACCTGTGTAAGAAAATTCTCAAGTGGATGGAAGGAGAAAATGTTTGCAGTTCCTGTGTAAGAAAATTCTCAAGTAGATGGAAGGAGAAAATGTTTGTAGTACCTGTGTAAGAAAATTCTCAAGTGGATGGAAGGAGAAAATGTTTGTAGTTCCTGTGTAAGAAAATTCTCAAGTAGATGGAAGGAGAAAATGTTTGTAGTACCTGTGTAAGAAAATTCTCAAGTGGATGGAAGGAGAAAATGTTTGTAGTACCTGTGTAAGAAAATTCTCAAGTGGATGGAAGGAGAAGATGTTTGTAGGACCTGTGGTTTGGAGAGAGCCCAGAAATGACTATTTGTGTGTGGTTCCACGTGTATCAGATTGTACCCTCTCTGTTGCAGACTTTGGCTGTACTGAACCCCATGAAATCTGCTGACCACTCCATCATGCAGGATACTGATCTGGCTGGTCCTCTGGTGTTTTGTATGGCTTTTGGTGCTACTCTGCTTCTGGTGGGTGGGCATTTTACTGTCGCTGTATTTCTATCTTTCAGTATATATACACACACACACACTGCAGTACATTCTTACATTTTCCCCGGTTTTCATAATTTAAGGTCTTTTATTGTCTTCAAATACTTCATTTTCTAACAGTATCCAGTTTCAGTTTACTTATTTTTTTTCTTTTTTGATAAATATTATATTATCTAATTTCTGGTTGTTTTTTTAAGTTTGTACAATATAAAAGGAAACAACAATTACCTAGCAGGTATGACAAATATTGTGACATGTTAGGACTCACATATACTTGGTTACAGTATTATTATGTGGTTTAACCAAACAGTTCCTGTACTGCCTTTTATGCCCAGTGTCTATGTTTGGTAAAGTTCTTCAGACACTAGCTTGACCCCTTGAACTATGTGGCTGGGAAGACGTGTCTAAGTAAAGGATTCCTTTCATGGTGGTAGCACATTAGTCATATAGTGCTAGACCCATATTGTTACGGACCAGCTGGTATTGTCTGATCACTACAGGTCTGTCATTGACCACACCTCATACAATCATTACCTATCCTGGGAACCTGATTTTTTTTTTGTGTGAGCTCCTATCTTTATCTCAGGGTTAATGTTTTGTATATAAATAATATTTAGGCTGCCTAGATTGTATCAGAACAGATGTTTTCTTTGTTATTTTCATCACTTGTATAATTTTAGTTAGGTAACAAAACAGTTTTACAGTACCTACGTGAATGACCATAATCTTGACCACATAATTTAACCTTCACAATTTGTCATGAATTTGGATATGATCAAGCACACTACATCTGAAACATTTACATAACTACACATAGGCCATCTTTACTTCAGCAACACATTGACAATGTTTACTTTAGCTACATATAGACAGAGTTTACTTTAGCTACACATAGACCGTGTTTCCTTCGGCTCCACATAGACCATATTTACTTTAGCTACACATAACCATCTTTACTTTAGCCACACATAGACCATCTTTACCTTTTGCCACGCATAGACCATGTTTACTTTAGATACACATAGACCATGTTTACCTTTTGCCACGCATAGACCATGTTTACTTTAGCTACACATAGACCATGTTTACTTTAGCTACACATAGACCATGTTTACTTTAGCCACGCATAGACCATGTTTACTTTAGCTACACATAGACCATGTTTACCTTTTGCCACGCATAGACCATGTTTACTTTAGCTACACATAGACCATGTTTACTTTAGCATCAAATAGACCATGTTTACTTTAGCTACACATAGACCATGTTTACTTTAGATACACATAGACCATCTTTACCTTTTGCCACGCATAGACCATGTTTACTTTAGCTACACATAGACCATGTTTACTTTAGATACACATAGACCATCTTTACCTTTTGCCACGCATAGACCATGTTTACTTTAGCTACACATAGACCATGTTTACTTTAGATACACATAGACCATCTTTACCTTTTGCCACGCATAGACCATGTTTACTTTAGATACACATAGACCATCTTTACCTTTTGCCACGCATAGACCATGTTTACTTTAGCTACACATAGACCATCTTTACCTTTTGCCACGCATAGACCATGTTTACTTTAGCTACACATAGACCATGTTTACTTTAGCATCAAATAGACCATGTTTACTTTAGCTACACATAGACCATGTTTACTTTAGATACACATAGACCATGTTTACCTTTTGCCACGCATAGACCATGTTTACTTTAGCTACACATAGACCATGTTTACCTTTTGCCACGCATAGACCATGTTTACTTTAGCCACACATAGACCATCTTTACCTTTTGCCACGCATAGACCATGTTTACTTTAGCTACACATAGACCATGTTTACTTTAGCTACACATAGACCATGTTTACTTTAGCTACACATAGACCTTGTTTACTTTAGCTACACATAGACAGTGTTTACTTTAGCTACACATAGACAGTGTTTACTTTAGCTACACATAGACCATGTTTACTTTAGCATCAGATAGACCATGTTTACTTTAGCTACACATAGACAGTGTTTACTTTAGCTACACATAGACAGTGTTTACTTTAGCTACACATAGACCATGTTTACTTTAGCATCAAATAGACCATGTTTACTTTAGCTACACATAGACCATGTTTACTTTAGCTACACATAGACAGTGTTTACTTTAGCTACACATAGACTGTTTTTACTTTGGCTACACATAGACCATGTTTACTTTAGCTACACATAGACCATCTTTACTTTAGCTACACATAGACCATGTTTACTTTAGCTACACATAGACCATCTTTACTTTAGCTACACATAGACTGTTTTTACTTTGGCTACACATAGACCATGTTTACTTTAGCTACACATAGACCATCTTTACTTTAGCTACACATAGACTGTTTTTACTTTGGCTACACATAGACCATGTTTACTTTAGCTACACATAGACAGTGTTTACTTTAGCTACACATAGACCATGTTTACTTTAGCTACACATAGACAGTGTTTACTTTAGCTACACATAGACTGTTTTTACTTTGGCTACACATAGACCATGTTTACTTTAGCCACACATAGACCATCTTTACCTTTTGCCACGCATAGACCATGTTTACTTTAGCTACACATAGACCATGTTTACTTTAGCATCAAATAGACCATGTTTACTTTAGCTACACATAGACCATGTTTACTTTAGCTACACATAGACAGTGTTTACTTTAGCTACACATAGACTGTTTTTACTTTGGCTACACATAGACCATGTTTACTTTAGCTACACATAGACCATGTATATTTAGCTACACATAGACCGTGTTTAGCTACACATAGACAGTGTTTACTTTAGCTACACATAGACCGTGTTTTCTTTAGCTACACATTGACTGTGTTTACTTTAGCTACACATAGACCGTGTTTACTTTAGCTACACATTGACTGTGTTTACTTTAGCTACACATAGACCGTGTTTACTTTAGCTACACATAGACAGTGTTTACTTTAGCTACACATAGACCATGTTTACTTTAGCTACACATAGACCGTGTTTACTTTAGCTACACATAGTCCGTGTTTACTGTACACATTTTATAGAAGTGCTAATATTAACCTATTTCAATTGTACAAATTTCATAGTAGTACTAATATTAACCTGTTTCACTGTACACATTTCATAGTAGTACTAATATTAACCTGTTTCACTGTACACATTTCATAGTAGTGCTAATATTAACCTGTTTCATTGTACTCCTGTATCAACCTGTTTCAGTCTGGCAAGCTTCACTTCACATAGACCGTGTTTCCTTCGGCTCCACATAGACCATATTTACTTTAGCTACACATAACCATCTTTACTTTAGCCACACATAGACCATCTTTACCTTTTGCCACGCATAGACCATGTTTACTTTAGCTACACATAGACCATGTTTACCTTTTGCCACGCATAGACCATGTTTACTTTAGCTACACATAGACCATGTTTACTTTAGCATCAAATAGACCATGTTTACTTTAGCTACACATAGACCATGTTTACTTTAGCTACACATAGACAGTGTTTACTTTAGCTACACATAGACCATGTTTACTTTAGCTACACATAGACCATGTATATTTAGCTACACATAGACCGTGTTTAGCTACACATAGACCGTGTTTACTTTAGCTACACATAGACCGTGTTTTCTTTAGCTACACATTGACTGTGTTTACTTTAGCTACACATAGACCGTGTTTACTTTAGCTACACATTGACTGTGTTTACTTTAGCTACACATAGACCGTGTTTACTTTAGCTACACATAGACCATGTATATTTAGCTACACATAGACCGTGTTTAGCTACACATAGACCGTGTTTACTTTAGCTACACATAGACCATGTATATTTAGCTACACATAGACCGTGTTTAGCTACACATAGACCGTGTTTACTTTAGCTACACATAGACCATGTTTACTTTAGCTACACATAGACCATGTTTACCTTTTGCCACGCATAGACCATGTTTACTTTAGCTACACATAGACCATGTTTACTTTAGCATCAAATAGACCATGTTTACTTTAGCTACACATAGACCATGTTTACTTTAGCTACACATAGACAGTGTTTACTTTAGCTACACATAGACCATGTTTACTTTAGCTACACATAGACCATGTATATTTAGCTACACATAGACCGTGTTTAGCTACACATAGACCGTGTTTACTTTAGCTACACATAGACTGTGTTTTCTTTAGCTACACATTGACTGTGTTTACTTTAGCTACACATAGACCGTGTTTACTTTAGCTACACATTGACTGTGTTTACTTTAGCTACACATAGACCGTGTTTACTTTAGCTACACATAGACCATGTATATTTAGCTACACATAGACCGTGTTTAGCTACACATAGACCGTGTTTACTTTAGCTACACATAGACCATGTATATTTAGCTACACATAGGCCGTGTTTAGCTACACATAGACCGTGTTTACTTTAGCTACACATAGACCGTGTTTTCTTTAGCTACACATTGACTGTGTTTACTTTAGCTACACATAGACCGTGTTTACTTTAGCTACACATTGACTGTGTTTACTTTAGCTACACATAGACCGTGTTTACTTTAGCTACACATAGACAGTGTTTACTTTAGCTACACATAGACCATGTTTACTTTAGCTACACATAGACCGTGTTTACTTTAGCTACACATAGTCCGTGTTTACTTTAGCTACACATAGTCCGTGTTTACTGTACACATTTTATAGAAGTGCTAATATTAACCTATTTCAATTGTACAAATTTCATAGTAGTACTAATATTAACCTGTTTCACTGTACACATTTCATAGTAGTACTAATATTAACCTGTTTCACTGTACACATTTCATAGTAGTGCTAATATTAACCTGTTTCATTGTACTCCTGTATCAACCTGTTTCAGTCTGGCAAGCTTCACTTTGGCTACATCTATGGGATCGGGTTGGTCGGATGTCTGGCCATGTACTGCCTGCTCAACTTGATGAGTTTGAATGGAGTCACTTCAGGAATCATCATCAGTGTGCTGGGCTACTGCCTGCTCCCCATGGTGTTTTTGTCATTTCTGTCAGCTGTTCTGACCCTCACGTAAGTGCAGCTTTCATCTGTTACTTGTTGCAGAAGATGTAATTTCATGCTCATATTTTATGCCATTCTAATTTAGTATATAGTTTTAACTGATTAAATGCCTGATATTTTGAACGTAGTTAAGAGGAACAGGATAAGAAATTGTGATGATACACATGAAATATGTGTAATTTCAGTGTTAACACTACAAAAAAAAAAAAGAGAGGAAAAACATCAGTCTAAATGGTTTGCAATAAATCTTAATGTGGATATACAGAAGATTAGGTCGTATTTCATGGAAACAAAAGCTATCAAATACAGAGGTACTGAGGAAATCGGGAATGAAAAGAGAGTTGCTAGGGGAAATAAAAAAGAGACAAGTGAAATATTTTTGCCACATTAAAAGACATAACAGTATTGTAAAGATCATCCTAGAGGGAAAGGTTCAAGGTACTCGAGCAAAAAGCAGAGAGCGTTACAAGTGGGAGGATAACATCAAGAGATGGACAAACAGCAGTATGAGTGAGTGTACATCAAGGGCAAGAGACAGGGCTTGTTGGAGATCCATTGCAGCCAACCTTCATTGTGGAGACGGCACCTGATTGGTTGATTGAAATCTTGACTTTATACCAGTCAGTACCCTAGATTTATAATAAACCTGGCTCCCAGGCCAACCAGCATGATGCTAACAGATCGCTCGTAATGTGCTGATGTGCATGAATTCTGTAGCTCGACCAGTGACTCCTGTGAGATGCCGTGGTGTAGCAGCTAAACCTCGAGGAAACAAGTATGGGGAAACCTAACTGCAGTGAAGCTGAAACCTCAACTAAGACTAAGCAGCTAAATGCTCACCTGCGAATCCAAAGGTCGTGAGCATGCAGCCAGATTTTTTTTTTTAAACTTGCCCCAACCTTACAAGGACCACATAACATCCTGGATACTAAGAAATTAGAATTAGAAAACGTCTTGAACGAAGAGAATGTACATGTATGCTGCCTACAAGAGACGTATCTCAAACAAGATATGGCCTTTAAGATCAGAGGCTACCAGTGTTTCCGATCTGACCACAAAGACAGGAGAAAAGGTGGAATTCTTACCCTGGTCAAAAATAACATCCTTGCGGGCCGGATCGAAACATACATGGAAGGTGCTGAGTATCAAACACTTGAGCTCAAGTTAGAAAATACAGATTTACATCTGACCAACTATTACTGTCCGAGCGACCGCCCTCAGGCACTGGATACAGTACTAATAAATGAAAAAATGATCATTTGTGGGGATTTTAATAGCCATTCCCAAAGTTGGGGATACGATCATATGGACCAGAGAGGAGAGAAACTAGAGGACTGGCAGGATGAGAATAGGTTTATCCTCGTTAATAAGCCAACCGACCCACCAACCTTCTACTCTAGAGCATGGCATACCACCTCGACACCAGACCTAGCCTTTCACTCACCAGACATGGAACTGAATGTTACCAGAACTGTTGGGAAGCAACTAGGAGGCAGTGACCACCGGCCAGTCTTTCTAACTATAGAAAGCCAGTCTGTAAGAGAGAGCAGCACACTGCCAAGGTGGAATTTTAAGAAGGCAGACTGGAAGTTGTATCAGCTTCGCACAAATGTTCTGCTGGAAAATCTAAACACAGATAACGACGTAGAAAAAGTAGTCCAAGAGTTGAGCAAACGCATGCTGCAGGCAGCCCTAGAAGCAGTTCCAAGAGGTGCGCGTAAACAATACAAACCGTACTGGAATTGCGATCTGGAGCAACTGCACAACAATATGGAAACAGAAAGAAAACAAGCTGAGACCAGACCTTGTCAAGAGCAGTTTAACAACTACCAACATTCAAAGGCCAAATTTCAAAGAGCCAAACTGCAGGCTAGACGGGCAAGCTGGCAAGAAAAGACAAAGTCTCTAAATTTTGAAAGAGACACAAGGAAGTTGTGGAGGTTAATTAAGCAAATTAATGATGAGAATACAGGAAGAAATGGTAATATTGCACTATGCAAAGAGGGAGCCATCCTAACAAGAAAACAGGCAGCTGACCACTTTGCAGATTCCTTTGCAGAAGACAGCAACATTAATGTCAGCCCAGAGAAACAGCGAGAGGTTCAAGAAAACAAACAACATATAAGACAAAAAGATATAATTCCTGAGGCACTGGTGGCAGCATTTACATCCAGCGAGTTAGAGTTAGCAATATCAAAGCTGAGAATGGGAAAATCACCTGGAATTGATGGTATCACCAACGAAATGATCAAGAACCTTGGAACAACTGCCAAAAAAAGCTGCTACAGATCTTTAATCATTGTTGGACCAGTGGCAAAGTTCCTCAAATATGGAGAGAAGCAATCACAATACCTCTGCTTAAACCAGGAAAGGACAGTTCTGATGCCTCCAGCTATAGACCGATCAGTCTTACCAGCTGCCTCTGTAAAACAATGGAACGTATTGTCAACCTTAGACTCCAATGGTACTTGGAAAGTGAAAACATTTTCACGCCGCAGCAGGCAGGATTTAGACAGTGCTACTCCACAGAAGACCAGACAACTTACCTTTCACAAGAAATTGAGGATGCCTTCCAGGAAAAGAAGCTAGTGCTAACGGCATGGATAGATCTGAAGAAAGCCTTTGACAAGGTCTGGAAAGAAGGTCTACTGAAGAAACTGAGAGACTGCAGGGTGAATGGGAGAATGTACAAATGGGTGAAAGCATACTTGTATAACAGAAGATCCCGAGTACAGATAGATGGACTTAAGAGTAAGAAAGTTTTGCTGCGCCATGGCGTCAAACAAAGAGGTGTTCTGTCCCCCACACTCTTCCTAGTCTATATCAACGACCTGCTTTCTGAACTACCCCATGGAATTAAAGCTGCAATGTATGCTGATGACTTGGTACTCTGGTGTACAAATGAAAATGCGACAGTGGCCACCAGGCTGCTACAAAGAGCAATAGATGCAATGGCTGATTGGGCCAACAAATGGTGTGTCAGCATCAACATAGGCAAATGCAGCACCACCCTCTTTACCCTTTCTCCTAAACAAAAATCAGGTGTCATGCATATAAATGGAGTACCCCTGAGAGAGGATAAGGAGCCCACATACCTCGGCGTAACGTTTGATGATAGATTAACATGGAGAAAACACATCAACAAGGCAGCAACCAAAGCCAGAAGGAGGGTAGCCATTCTGAGAAAACTAAGTGGAACCACATGGGGTGCTAGCGGGAAAATACTTAGAAAAGTTTACCAACAAAGTGTTCGACCACATCTTGAATACGGATCAACAGCGTGGAGCTCGGCATCAAAAACCACATTGCAAGAATTATACAAAGTGCAAAATCAAGCACTCAGAGTTACCACAGGCAGTATGAAATCAACACCTATAGCTGTGATGGAGAAAATGGGGATGACCCAAGCACTGAGTGAACGCAGAGACACCAAGATGCTTTTACAAGCAGAAAAGTTTGTTAGTATGCCCAGTCACCCTATGAATGAAAGATTCCAAAATTTAGCTTTAGGACGACTAAAGAGAAGTAGTTTTATCCACCAGGCCAAACGGCTCGGCAGACAAACCACTGATTTACCTGCAACTGATAGACCCTTAAATGCTGTCCCAGAACGGACCCCCTGGAGAGAGGAGTATAAGTTTCCAATACACATCAAGACTGAAGTGAAAGGGGTATTTGACAAGGAAGAACAAAACAGTGTGCAGCGCAAAACAGCCACCCTCAGTCTACTTGATGATGAATACCCGCAGAACCTTTGGGTCCGTGTTTACACAGATGGGTCAGCAGAAAGCGCAGTCAGAAACGGAGGTGCGGGAGTGTACATTGAGTATCCTAATAATACCAGGGATACAGCCAAATTACCAACGGGAAAGCACTGTCACAACTATGATGCAGAAGTTCAAGCCATCAAGATAGCGGTAGAGAAACTACTAAATACAGGGTATTTTTCACAACCAGTGGTATTCCTGACAGATGCTAAAGCAGTACTTCAGTCACTCCAGTCTGGAAAATTACCAAGCATACGGACACTATTATCCGAACTAGGCAACCGCTGTAAATTAGTAATGCAGTGGATACCTTCCCACTGTGGAGTTCCCGGAAACGAAAAAGCTGATAAACTAGCTAAGGAAGGTGCAACTGAAGAACAACCTAACATACCAGTCTCTTATCAACAGAAGAAGAGAATGATCAAATCAATCAGAATGCCACCGAAACTGGCACAAGATGATTACCATATTATGGACAGACCAGAGCAAGTCATTATCCTTCGCCTTTGAACAGGGCACAATCGACTTCGCTCCCACATGTACAACAAATTTAAGATTGGCCAGTCAGCCATGTGTACTTGTGGACTGGTACCTGAAACAACAGATCACATCCTTCAAGACTGTCCCAGATTCAACGCTTTCAGGCAAAACCTTTGGCCAAAAGAGACACTTGTGGAAGTCAAACTTTACGGGCCGCTTAGTGAATTACAAAAGACAGTGAAATTCATACTAGAGACAGCTTTGCATATATAGACAATTTATTTCATGCGAACGAAAGAAGAAGAAGATAACATCCTGGGAAGTAAAGGCAGCCGGCATGATGTAGACTACATCACCCGTCGAGGTCTCTTAGTCAATAAAATATGAGTCTGACCTCAGACGCCCGATGCACCACTTGTGTGTAAAGGGACTTTACTTTTTACTTTAGCTACCAGTGACCATCATGGATCTACAAAACACCTACAAACTGAAAGACAGGGTCTGATATTGAACCCACAACCTTCAGAGCAGGAAGGCACATGGTTTAACCACTCCACCCCTGAATGTGCATGATAATAATGTAACATTTTGTATCTGACACTTTAGCAGTAGTTTGTGAGCAAGTTGTTGATTTCTTCTCATTCACAGGGGAATCTTTGGTCTGGTGCTGGTATCTTTGACAGTGCTGTGGTGTAGCATATCAGCCTCCAAGCTTTTCGTCTCTGCCCTTGCCATGGACAGTCAACAGCTTCTCGTGGCCTATCCCTGTGCTCTAGTCTATGGTGTTTTTGCTCTGCTCACAGTTTTTTAAGTTTAGCCTCTGTGGAATTTCATATTTCATATTTTGTGTTTCTTGTATTTACATTTGGTTCTGAACAATATTTGTGCTACAAGTGTATCTGCATATATTTTTTCCAATACTTGGGAAAAAACATGTTTTTTTTTTTTAAATTATTTTTGACACAAAATAAGTAGTTTTTTTTTTTTTTTTAAATTGTGACACATGGAAAACATATGACATTTTCTATCATTATTTTCCCTAGCCTGTCCAGAGTAAGGTTACTTTATAACAGTCGAGGGCCCCAATATAACCGTACAGTTCTTCGGTTTGGGTTTCTCATCCGAATAGGGACACTTTGTGTCGCGGAGTCTTAATTGCTCAGAGTGCTGTACTGGTAGAGTTCAACTTCACATTTTCTTTTTGTGACTTTGGATCTGTAAACAGTTAATATGAGGATGTTTATTTACCAGACTTAAATCGCTGTGATGAGCATTGGTGCTTAGAAAGTTGGGGATCTATTTTCAGGCTATTTCTCTCAGTATTGCATGTCTTTTTTTTTTTTTAATGTGTGTTTTGTAAATATATGTAATTCACTGTTAGGAAACAGATGCCATATTTCTGTCATTCATTGCAAAGACATTAATGTGCAGAAATCTGTCTGTAACATATCTGGCTTATTACTTGGGAAATGCAGATTTACTGTTATTTATTTTATCGCAACACAAATGGAACATACACTATCAATGGCTGGTCTTAGTGTTCTGGGCACAGTAAAGCCATGTTTTATAGGCATGATGTTTCTGTCAAACAAGATGACTCTTTCTGATGCTCTTACAAGTCCACATGATGTGGAGAATCACAAGTCCACATGATGCGGAGAATCACAAGTCCACATGATGCGGAGAAGCATGATGGCCCATGTCAGTCAGCAGGTCTTTTGATCATGGTGGCAATCTATCCCATACAGCGCCCCATGTTTCACTAGCTGCTGTCAGTGTGTATCAACAACACAGAGTATGTTAATGTATCTGTCAAGTGTGGAATGAGCATAGTAAAGAAATCTGGCTGGACATTTTTCCATGCCGAACAACATATAATGTATTAAATCACTTGGGCACCTCTGTAAAATTTTCTGGAGGCTAAGTTAACATATTACGCAACAGTAATACATATTCCAGGTTCGATCCCAGCTGCAGGCTATGCACCTTGCATTGGTTTCGACAGATGTATCAGGGGGCCGACCGTCCAGAAAGCAATGGCAAACTACTGGACATAATTTGTCTAGAGAAGCCACACAACAGCCAGGGGCTGCTAAGGTTGGTTCTGCAATGTTCTGTAAAGAATATGCAACTAATCAATATATATTTTGTCGCATATTACACAGTGGAGGGGTCCTCTGTGGCAGAGTGGTTAAGCTGTGACCATGGGCTCTGAAGGTTGTGGGTTTGATTTCAGACTTCATCCTTCATTATGAGAGTATATTTTTAATCCTTGGGGAGGGGGTGTCGCTGCAGCAGAAATTGTGCTTTATTGTTGCCAAGCACTTTGCATGGAGAGAGCAGTCATGTGGAATCAAGCCTGGTGCAATGAAATCAATCCTGTCACTGTTAAACTGCCATATCACGTTTTCTGTCAGTTGTACAGTCAGTGTTACACATGAAACATGTCATTGTTGGAGCAAATGTTTACATACAAATCTGAGACATTGATCAGTGGCTATAGGTAGAGATGAGATGTTTTGAGGTTTCATAAAATTTTCAGAAGCACATGGGTGTTTCATTCACTGCATGAAAGTTCATGACAATAACATCTGCATACAACTCTTGACTGGTGTTTCTGTTTAGTTTTTATCCCCTGTTCTGTATCTGTAAAATGATCATTGTTTTTAATGGAGCTATTGTTAATGCACCCATGGCTGACAGACTTGCCCATTGGTCATATGTTTGGTTTTAAAAAATTGACAAGGGCTGCCAGGTCAGTTAGCTGGGCCTAAAATCATAACTGTCTGACTCTAGCAAATTAACCCCCCCCCCCCCCCCCCACTTTCCCCCCATTTTAAGTTCTTAGGTCAAATTTGCACTGGATTGTGGTAGTTATTTCAACACCTTAACATTGACTATTACAATGTTTCAGCAAAGTATGCTTTTATTTTGGTAGAGGCTTTGTTTTGAAGAAGGAAAAAAAACAGTAATAACATGCACATAATTGTAACACATTAACATATTCACTCAGAGATAACATTTTATTAGCTGCTTGATTGTGAAAACTGGCTATAAATCTCCATCAAATGTGGGTCAGTCTGTGGCTGGACTTTTCCCAGTGCTGCATCAAAGTGCCTGGCAAGTACCTTCTCTGTGTGAATATCTTCTCGCAAAGCATAGAAGGCTGCCTCTTGGCAGACTTGAACAATCTGAAATTTAAAATATATATATATATATAATTCTACTGCTGAGTCACTATGTGAGAGACTGGTTATTCATCTCATCACTCCATGGCTGAAAATATGAGAAGGCCTTACATGTCACCAGAATCTGCCATGAGACTAGTTTGAGCGCATCTTTCCACAACACTTTTGAGGACATTTGCATCTAAGCTAGAAGTTCAAAACAATCTGGTTTTTTTTTCCATGCTGTGTGGTGCTGATCAGCATGTGTCTCCACAGCTTCTCTCTTATCAACTGCCAGTTTTCTGATACACAAGTTTTCTATACCCTGACACCAAAAAAAAACAATCTCTCTTTTGGTCATTCTATCTCTTCCCCAAACTTTCCTCTGGATGAGCATGCAAAACTCAATTTCTGAACAAGACCTAAAGTCCAGAAATAGGCAAACATCCAGAACGTTCCACAAGAGTATACAGCTGGTGAACATGAAGAAGAAGGAAAGACTCTCCACGACAGTTGTGTATGAATTATTTTAAAATAGAGATATATTCTGTGAGCTGATAAAACTTCAGCTTTGTTCTGCATGAGATGTATTTCACGGTACCAAATGCCCTCAACCTGTGGGTTGAATTACCCTTTCACAGGAGTTTGGTCGAATGACTCTTCACAGGAGTGGCCTAAGACCATCGGAAAACATATATTCCCTGAAGTTACGAAGTAGCAAGAAACATAATTTTATGCTGGGGGTCACCACAACATGATTAAGTGTATTAAAGGGTCGCAGCATCAGGGAGGTTGAAAACCACTGCCCTAGAGTATAGTTACCTCAGCTCCAGAATAATCTTGGGTGGCCTGCACTAACAACTCCAGGGAAACATCATGTGCAACAGACATTTTGTTGAGCTTCTTTTGTAGAATCTGTGTCCGAGTCTCAGCATCAGGCAGGGGAACATATACTAGGTTGTCGAACCTGCCAGGCCTCATCAGTGCCTACAGCAGGGAAGATTGCATTTGATTAGATTATAAATGTATATACTAGCAATAAATGTACAACAACAAATTAACTTCACCAAAACATACAATGACATGACAGGCTTTAGTAAACAAAAACCCACTACCTTGTGTGATAATATTCTAGTCATAAAACTGAAAGGTTGAACAGGATATGATTTGCTTTTATTACATACATTCACACATACAAAAGGAGTAAGAAATGTGAGTGTATAAGAGTACTTTTTATTTCAATTTCATGTCAACTGCATCAGAAGCAATTAGTATAGGCAGATCTGTTCAGTGTTAGCAACTGCCAGAAATCAGATGGTCAACTCTACAGGTTAAACATGTAGTGACCCCCATCCCATTTTTTCCCCATCTTAAATGTCTGAAGTGGTCAGCACTTAAAGAAAAAACTTACTGTAGACACTGCTGAGATGGGAAACCGGTGGTAAACCCCAAAGCAAGAAAAACAATCCTTCCTTGAATGGGAATTGAAAGATTAGGACCACTGTGTTGGTAAGCAAGTGAATAATCATTATGTTATAAGGCGTATGTTCACAGCCTGCTCTCATATGTTAGCTAAGAAACAAACTCTGCCACTGGTGAGAACTGATCCCAGACCTGTGTATTTACAAACAATGTCACTATTTACACCACAGAAAGGAATAAATAAAATAAACACTAACAAGAGGACAATGGCTAAGCTCAAGCTGAACTTTAAAAAAAAAAACTTGCTCACAGGAGAGAGAAAAATGAATAGTTCATTTTAGGTGACTAAATGATACCAGGGCGCATAAGGAAGGGAACCAAAGAATTGTAATAAAACAGCCTAGCATTTATGATATCAGAGATTATTGTTTTTTTTTTAAAGTTGGCATGAGTGTGAAAATTATAGGGAAAGGGGGGGGGGTTAGTTCCTGGGGAAAAATTAAGCAGAATTATTCTAGAGACATTAAAATAATGTGATAACTGGAAAGATTTATGAAAAGAGATAGAGATAAGATCTGTGACCACAGCCTTTTGTCATGACCCTTGCCTTCAGGACCATTTGTGGAATTATTGTCCTGGACATGCTGAAATCTGTGGCAATGAGAGAACTACTGTTAGTTTTCCTAAACATCCAGCAAATAGTTACCCTCCACAAAAACAGGCAATTCATAATACAGTGTACCCACTATGGCTGCCCCTGTGTACTGACAGTCACTCAGGAAAAATATCAGGTTCACACATGTCAAGATAAATATACCAGGTTCAAACCCAGGAGTGGCAGGATTCCTTTTCCCAGGACTGCCAGATTTGTTTGTAATCATTACGACTCTGCGGTCAACCCTGATTCATAATATGGGTGCCAGGTCATTTCCTGAGAAGGAAATGTGACGAGACAGGGAATGGTCACCACATCCGATATTGAAGGCTGAGAATATGAGGAGGCCCAATACTTGACACCCCACGACAGCATCAGCTAAGGGGACTACCTTTACACATCACTCTACACTGCAATTAGCTTAATAAGGAAATAGTCAACATCCAAGCTATAACATCTGCTGAGAGACTAGGCACTTATGAATTTGTCCTCAGTGTGATAGTGTAAACTGCATAATAGAAATGATACTGTGTACCGTGTAAGAAACTCACAGGGTCTATCAAGTCTGGTCTGTTTGTGGCTGCAATTATGAAGACATCCTTCAGAAACTGCATGCCATCCATTTCTGTCAACAGCTGAGTTAACACTCGATTCTGCACACCAGAGGTTGACTCAGAACTAACAAAACAAAACAAAATGTGTTATCTTGTTGTCTATTACACAGACATTAAATTAGTTGAACTTAGCTGACATGATCAGATTTACAGTACACTGTGCTGTGATCTATGCTGACCCATCTGTTATATTATCATGATCAACATCACTACACATTGAGCATTCCCATGTGTGCACATTCCTATGATGCATCAGCCATTCCGAGGTACCTTTACTGTCTATTCTTAAACAGGTGGTTATAATTTCTCCTATCTTGTTGACCTCAAAGATAAACACAGACACATTTCCTCAGGTTGAACTCCCAGATCATGTAGTCAGTATAGCCTCAGGTTGAACTCCCAGATCATGTAGTCAGTCTATCCTCAGGTTGAACTCCCAGATCATGTAGTCAGTCTATCCTCAGGTTGAACTCCCAGATCATGTAGTCAGTCTATCCTCAGGTTGAACTCCCAGATCATGTCGTCAGTCTATCCTCAGGTTGAACTCCCAGATCATGTAGTCAGTCTATCCTCAGGTTGAACTCCCAGATCATGTAGTCAGTCTATCCTCAGGTTGAACTCCCAGATCATGTAGTCAGTCTATCCTCAGGTTGAACTCCCAGATCATGTCGTCAGTCTATCCTCAGGTTGAACTCCCAGATCATGTAGTCAGTCTATCCTCAGGTTGAACTCCCAGATCATGTAGTCAGACTATCCTCAGGTTGAACTCCCAGATCATGTAGTCAGACTATCCTCAGGTTGAACTCCCAGATCATGTAGTCAGACTATCCTCAGGTTGAACTCCCAGATCATGTAGTCAGACTATCCTCAGGTTGAACTCCCAGATCATGTAGTCAGTCTATCCTCAGGTTGAACTCCCAGATCATGTAGTCAGTCTATCCTCAGGTTGAACTCCCAGATCATGTAGTCAGTCTATCCACAGGTTGAACTCCCAGATCATGTAGTCAGACTATCCTCAGGTTGAACTCCCAGATCATGTAGTCAGTCTATCCACAGGTTGAACTCCCAGATCATGTAGTCAGACTATCCTCAGGTTGAACTCCCAGATCATGTAGTCAGTCTATCCTCAGGTTGAACTCCCAGATCATGTAGTCAGACTATCCTCAGGTTGAACTCCCAGATCATGTAGTCAGACTATCCTCAGGTTGAACTCCCAGATCATGTCGTCAGTCTATCCTCAGGTTGAACTCCCAGATCATGTAGTCAGTCTATCCTCAGGTTGAACTCCCAGATCATGTAGTCAGTCTATCCTCAGGTTGAACTCCCAGATCATGTAGTCAGTCTATCCTCAGGTTGAACTCCCAGATCATGTCGTCAGTCTATCCTCAGGTTGAACTCCCAGATCATGTAGTCAGTCTATCCTCAGGTTGAACTCCCAGATCATGTAGTCAGACTATCCTCAGGTTGAACTCCCAGATCATGTAGTCAGACTATCCTCAGGTTGAACTCCCAGATCATGTAGTCAGACTATCCTCAGGTTGAACTCCCAGATCATGTAGTCAGTCTATCCTCAGGTTGAACTCCCAGATCATGTAGTCAGTCTATCCTCAGGTTGAACTCCCAGATCATGTAGTCAGTCTATCCACAGGTTGAACTCCCAGATCATGTAGTCAGACTATCCTCAGGTTGAACTCCCAGATCATGTAGTCAGTCTATCCACAGGTTGAACTCCCAGATCATGTAGTCAGACTATCCTCAGGTTGAACTCCCAGATCATGTAGTCAGTCTATCCTCAGGTTGAACTCCCAGATCATGTAGTCAGACTATCCTCAGGTTGAACTCCCAGATCATGTAGTCAGACTATCCTCAGGTTGAACTCCCAGATCATGTAGTCAGTCTATCCTCAGGTTGAACTCCCAGATCATGTAGTCAGACTATCCACAGGTTGAACTCCCAGATCATGTAGTCAGACTATCCTCAGGTTGAACTCCCAGATCATGTAGTCAGTCTATCCTCAGGTTGAACTCCCAGATCATGTAGTCAGTCTATCCTCAGGTTGAACTCCCAGATCATGTAGTCAGACTATCCACAGGTTGAACTCCCAGATCATGTAGTCAGACTATCCTCAGGTTAAACTCCCAGATCATGTAGTCAGTCTATCCTCAGGTTGAACTCCCGGATCATGTAGTCAGTCTATCCTCAGGTTGAACTCCCGGATCATGTAGTCAGTCTATCCTCAGGTTGAACTCCCAGATCATGTAGTCAGTCTATCCTCAGGTTGAACTCCCAGATCATGTAGTCAGTCTATCCTCAGGTTGAACTCCCAGATCATGTAGTCAGTCTATCCTCAGGTTGAACTCCCAGATCATGTAGTCAGACTATCCTCAGGTTGAACTCCCAGATCATGTAGTCAGACTATCCTCAGGTTGAACTCCCAGATCATGTAGTCAGTCTATCCTCAGGTTGAACTCCCAGATCATGTAGTCAGTCTATCCTCAGGTTGAACTCCCAGATCATGTAGTCAGACTATCCTCAGGTTGAACTCCCAGATCATGTAGTCAGACTATCCTCAGGTTGAACTCCCAGATCATGTAGTCAGACTATCCTCAGGTTGAACTCCCAGATCATGTAGTCAGTCTATCCTCAGGTTCAACTCCCAGATCATGTAGTCAGACTATCCTCAGGTTGAACTCCCAGATCATGTAGTCAGACTATCCTCAGGTTGAACTCCCAGATCATGTAGTCAGACTATCCTCAGGTTGAACTCCCAGATCATGTAGTCAGTCTATCCTCAGGTTGAACTCCCAGATCATGTAGTCAGTCTATCCTCAGGTTGAACTCCCAGATCATGTAGTCAGTCTATCCTCAGGTTGAACTCCCAGATCATGTAGTCAGTCTATCCTCAGGTTGAACTCCCAGATCATGTAGTCAGTCTATCCTCAGGTTGAACTCCCAGATCATGTAGTCAGACTATCCTCAGGTTGAACTCCCAGATCATGTAGTCAGACTATCCTCAGGTTGAACTCCCAGATCATGTAGTCAGACTATCCTCAGGTTGAACTCCCAGATCATGTAGTCAGTCTATCCTCAGGTTGAACTCCCAGATCATGTAGTCAGTCTATCCTCAGGTTGAACTCCCAGATCATGTAGTCAGACTATCCACAGGTTGAACTCCCAGATCATGTAGTCAGACTATCCTCAGGTTGAACTCCCAGATCATGTAGTCAGTCTATCCTCAGGTTGAACTCCCGGATCATGTAGTCAGTCTATCCTCAGGTTGAACTCCCGGATCATGTAGTCAGTCTATCCTCAGGTTGAACTCCCAGATCATGTAGTCAGTCTATCCTCAGGTTGAACTCCCAGATCATTTAGTCAGTCTATCCTCAGGTTGAACTCTCAGATCAAGTAGTCAGTCTATCCTCAGAGACTCATTAGACTTATATTAGTGCCTTATCTGACAGTTGATCCGCTTGTTTAAATCGACATTTCTTCATTTCCTCTAGCCCTGTTCTGCCTTTCAAGTTTTCAAGAGGCATCAGATACAAGCCTTGGTATGTGCTATGCTGATGCTGGTATTTATGGTCTTGGATATTCCATCTATCCATAACTTGCATGGCCAACCTCTTGTCTGCTTCCACTGTGTCTAAGTGACAAGGCTCTCTGTAGTGCATTATCTGGTGGTAGTCTTGATACATGTTCGAATCATCTGATCTGTTGTCTCTTGATGTAATTTAGAGCTGGTTCCGTCCTAACTTGATTCCTGATATCGTTATTTCTGATCATGTCTCTTTTAGTTATATTTTACTGACATGCCCAGAGGGATAGATCCAAGCGAGGGATGCGAGGTGCAACATTTTAATGTTGTCTACCCATTTAGACAGGAGACTTTCAATTGAAATTGTATGAAGCATGTTCATGGAGTCCGCTATGATCACTGTATGTCTGGCTGATTGTTGTGCTGCCAGAGTCCAGTTATCTTCAGGTGATGCTGGTAGGAAACACTGTCTTCTTGATATGCTTCCCATTCCCTGTGCCATACCTATGCTGACCTCAGTCCATGCTTCACAGATTCATCTGTGTAAATGACAATTTCCTATGGATGCTGCTCTATCACTCCCACCATCTCGGTGTCTATGACAGCCATCTGTACACAATACATTTAATACTCACCTGGGCACATAACATCAAGAAAACTAAGAGCCCTTGTTCTGTTATTGTTGTAATTTTTTTTTACTGCCCTAGTACATACCCATTTCTCTGAACCACAATGAGATTTAATTACACAGAAAGACCAACTAATTACCGCTACACTTATTTATAAATAGGCAAGAAAATTACAACTGAAGACTGATAAACATCTTTATGAGATAGGGAGTATCATAGACACATATAATTTTATATTGAGACAACAAACTTGTTTAGGAAATAGGGATAGACATAACCACATAAAAAAAAAATTTTTTAAACAAAGTATGGTACAAAGTAAGTACAAAATAAAATCTATGTCATTATCATCAGGTGCCTTGCCGACTGGCGTGGGCGATCATGCCTCTCCATAATCTGCGATCTCCTGCAGCATGTATCAGTTCGTGGGCCGACACACCTCCATGCCATGCAACAAGACTGTCAAGCATCTTCTCTTGTTGTCTTCCTCTGTCCCTCCTTCCACAGATCTTTCCAGTGGTCACAACATGTTCTATTTTTCCCTCTTCTCATAACATGGCCGAAAAATGATGACTGTCTCCTTCTGATGTCTGTGATTAGTTGTCTTCGGGCTCCTGCCTCTTTCAAAACTTCTTGGTTGCTCTTTTTGGCTCTCCAAGGTATTCTAAGCATTCTTCTGTAAAACCACATCTCTGAGGCCACTAAAAATTGTTTGGCCTGCCTACCTATTGTCCAGGATTCACAGCCATATGTTAAAACTGGATGTATGTAGCAAGCAAGAATTCTTTTTCTAACTCTCAATGACAAGGATATATTGCACAAGATGTTCTTCATTTTATAAAATGCAGTTTTTGCCTGTCCAATTATGTTTCTTATTTCAGTTATGCATCTTCCATCTGATGTTATCCATGTGCCCAGATACTTAAATTTCTGTACTTGTCCTATAATAACACCATTGACTTTTATTACACATTTAGGAATAATTTGTTTCTTTGATACCACCATTACTTCTGTCCTCTCATTATTCAAACTGTGACCCATTCTTCCACTTTCTAACACCACAATATCTATCATTTCCTGTAATTATTTCTAACTTGTTGCTATCAAGACTGTGTCATCAGCATAATGTAAATTGTTTATATTGTGCCCACCAACCACAATTCCGGGCATATCAATTAAAGATCTCATTATGTATTCACTGTATATTGAAAACAAATCAGGTGAAAGTACACATCCTTGTCGTACGCCCCTCTTTATGCTTTGAAATGTACCTAAACAGTTGTTAATTCTTATAGCTGCTGTTTGCTGCCAATACATATTCTTTATTATTCGTAGATCTTTCCCATCAATGTTTAATTTTTCTAACAGTTTGATTACTTCTTTATGCTTCACACAGTAAAATCTATGTAAGAATGGCAAAAACAGCAGTGTCTCTGTTTATGACTTGATTAGAGGGTACAATGTTTTATCTGATTTTAAACTAAACAAGTTGTACTCTCATGAACTGTGTGCAAGGAGACACTATGTCAATTCTATTAAAAAAATTGGAAATCAGAATATCTAATTTTACAAGGTTTAAAATAAATTAGCAACATTCTCATGAACTGTGTAAACAAAAATTACCAACACAGAAAATAGTGATCATAATTCTACAAAGAAAACTAGGGAAACGGATTAAACCCATGTAAAATGGTAATGCTGACCTTGCACGATTCACAGCTATAGCATCTATTTCATCGAAGAAAATGATGGATGGGGCAGCTTGTCTGGCCTTACGGAAAACTTCACGTACAGCTTTCTCAGACTCTCCAACATACTTGTTGAATAACTCTGGTCCCTGTCGGACAGACAAAACAAACAAGAGATGCCTGTACCACATGACTAACTGTAAAAAAGGGGGTGGAAGGGAGGGGGACATTGTGCATTCAATAATACAAATGTCCTATCATAAATAGAATGTTCTATGTACACAGAGCATTTAATGTATGAAAATATCAATCAGTGTTCTTAGGGCTGGCCAGAACAGAACAAGCCAGAGAATAAAAAACAAAATATTTTACATAGCATAATCAGCCTCAGTCCCCTTCAAAGTAAGCTCTCTGGGGTTTCAAGCAATACTCCTAATGTATTTTCCACTGTTCAAAAAGTGGATGTTTTAATCACAGCTACCGATCGTCAGAGCCAGCATGGTGGCAACATTCTGTGGGAATATTTCTGGTGCCATCGGTGATATTCTTGGGTTTTTTTTAAATCAGAAAGTGAAGGGGAAGATATTTCTGCACAGTCTGATGACTGTGACTTTGATGACTCTTACAATCTACCATTAAAAACATTCTTGAAACTGAAAGGATGTTTCGCTTAGCAGTGGCATTCAAAAGTAAGTATTTTATGTTACTTCAGTTTGAGTACTCTTTCATGTATTTGCTTCAAGAGTGTATTGTTAGACGACTAGGTGTACACTGTACATTATGGTTGTGTGGCTTAGAGTTTAGTGACAATCATTTCACACTACAAACCTTGATGTTTACTGAGGTGCAAATCCCACGATGGGTGGTTTGGGAAAAGATCTTTTTTGTGTTTGTGGCTTTCTGACAATTCAGTCGCATACTGCGTCAGAGAATTTTGGTGCAAAAAGGCAAAAAGCAAATAAATTGAAGAATTTTATTGCACAATTAGGTAGAGCTTTAAATCAGGATTATTTCCGAGAAAAAAAATTGTCTATATTGGTTTCAAATAGAAGAATTTTTGGCTGCATTTTTTTTTTTTGCACCGATCTATAGCAAAATGACGTAAAACAAGATTACAATTTTTTTTTAGCTTCTTGAACTTTATTTTCCATCCAGTTTGGTGCAAAAATATGATGAGTTCATGTTAAGTAGTTCTGAAGGTATCACAGTTTTGTTAGTCTATACTGCTGTCAGAAAAAAAAAAAGCTTAGTTTTAGTTGCCCCCTTTTTTTTGCACCACATGTTGATGATGTAAAACAAGTTTATGCAATCTTAGTTCTTGAGATTTGTTTTCCATTCAATGTGGTGCAAAAATAAAAAATGTGAGTTTATGTTAAATATTTTTGAAGCTATGGCATTTTTAGTATACACTAGAAACATATTATTATGGTATCTGGGAAAGTGCAAGAGTCAATGGGTTTGGTAGTCAGCGGGTTGGTTAATCATTTATTCAGTTCTAGGAAAAGCTAAAGTCACAGCGTACTAAAACTGAGCTTTAGGAGGCATGTTGTGATAAAGACGCTAATCACCAGTTGCATGTAATTGTGATTGTTTTCATTTTGCTGCATCTCTCAACCAACACGGAACATTGAGGTAGTTTTCCTCATTAACTGTTTGGCCTGTAAAAGCATACTCGCAAACAATACCGTTTTAAAATACAAATTTGAAGACAGTTAACCTGGTTTTGAGACGACCGGGCCTTTGTTTCTAGACTGCAGACACATCATTCATATCCAGTTATGGCCTCCTTGCTAGCAGTTTCCAGTTAATCATTAGCAACTAGCACAAAGTTCCCTCTGCTCTGGTAGCCAGGACATTTTTCAAAGCCAGATGATGACTCAGAATTTTGGAATCTTGCACTGTAATTTACCAATCTTTGTTGATTGCAGCTTGTGCAAGTTCAACATTTTCTGGTGTTCTTGCTCCAGAAACGGGATGGCAATCGAAGTTTCTTAACCATCTTTAAAGCATTTGTGCCACAATTTTATATGTCAATGCATTGTCCCTAAAAGCCTTCTGAATCATCCGAAGTTTCAGTGGAGGAATGTTGAAGCTGAATGCAAAACTTTGCACTACTCCTCCAGCCATTTTCAATGCACAAAGTGCATGTGCTCACTAAGCAACATTTAACAGTCGTAATGACAGATGTGCGACGTCAGCGTAGCTCACATTTATGCCGGACAGGCCAGTCTAGGGCTGCCAAGTTACATTAATGTTGTGCAAGCCATTCTCTTTCACATTAACTATGGCTTTTTTTTAAAGGGGTGGGGGAACAGTCCTGTTATGTGAAATTTCAGCATAAAGTATCAGTGTGTGCCAAATGTCAATGTTCTTGAAAAATCAGTGTACATGAAGTGTCAATATATGTTTAATATTAATGAATGTAAAATGTGTGTTTTAAAAAAGGTTACAAATGATACAAATTCATTCTGTCACAGACAACGATTACTAATTCTTGTCTACACACAACAACTGTAACTTCAAAGTTGTAATCTAATATAAACTAACTCAGATTTACTTTCACTGTTATGCTCGAACATTTCTATAATATCAAAACAATGTTTTACCTGTGGTAAATTTGAACAAAGAAGACGCAAACAAAATACTTCACAATTTATCACCTGGCATATATCAGTCTATTTCGTCATGTGCATACTACAGTAACAATTAAGTAAAATGAAGAAAATAAACAAAGCTTTCACAGCTGACATACAAAATCAACCACTGGCAGAAGTAACTGCCTGTAAAAATCCATTTATTAATGCCTGTTTCCAATTCAATCTGTATTCCTTACAATGACAGTAATCATGATGATGATGATGGTTCCTTACAATGACAGACAGCAGAAATATTGAAAGAGGTGAAAAGCCACCCCCTCTCCCTCCCACCCCATTTTTCAATCAAAGAGGTGTGATTACCTCCTGAACTTCCAGGAACTGAAGGAAAACAAATTAAATGACCTGGCTGTCCACACAGTGACAACTAAAGCCTAATTACATATCAATAAGGATGTCTTGAGGGAGGAGTGGCAGACCTACAGTTACCAGTGGCACACAAGAGACAATACAGTCAATCCAAATTAGGCCAGCTGCCTGTATTTTCCTGACATAATCGCAGGTATCCACTATATGCTTGTTGAATTAGGAATCAACATCACAGTACTCGGGACACTCCCATAAGCGCTCCATCCCCATCTTCAGAAGCAAGCAAAGAGTTCTAATTCCGATGGTACCAGTAACTGATTGCACATCCATCTCGGCTTTCCAGTGAGCGTTGTTCCTCGGCCAGATCCGCTAGTAACTCCGAGCAGCACTATTCTCTTCAGACAGTAATGATGTATTTGTACCTTCGCACTATTCACTCGCTCCCAAAGGGCACTCACAACGTATAGCTTGTCATATATCAATTCACCACCAAGTAGTGCAGAACCGACCAGTCTATCTGCCTTGAGGACACAACGACCCAGGATCTCTAAAGCAATGCCTGCCCATTTTCTACAAGTGGGTACACCTAGGGCCACATATATCTAGTAAACAAGCTGGCATAAGTTGGCTGAGATCTATGCTCCACTGAACAATAAAGGTAAGAATAAACACAGTGCAGACCTACCTTCACAGCCAGAAAGTTTAAACTACACTCAGTTGCCAAGGCTCGGGCCACCATGGTCTTGGAGCAGCCAGGAGGTCCATACATCAGTAAACCTTTAGGAGGCTGGATGCCTAGCCTAGCAAACACTTCAGGGTTGGTCTGTGGCAAGTCAACTGCTTCACGCAGCCTCATTTTCACTTCTGACATGCCACCAATGTCTGTCCACTTCACCTGTTTGACAGGTTGTGCACAAGATTCTGTATAAAACACTGATCAAACTGTACAATCTGATTCTGTATAAAACACTGTACAATCTGATTCTGTATAAAACACTGATCAAACTGTACAATCTGATTCTGTATAAAAACACTGATCATACTGTACAATCTGATTCTGTATAAAACACTGATCATACTGTACAATCTGATTCTGTATAAAAACACTGATCATACTGTACAATCTGATTCTGTATAAAACACTGATCATACTGTACAATCTGATTCTGTATAAAAACACTGATCATACTGTACAATCTGATTCTGTATAAAACACTGATCATACTGTACAATCTGATTCTGTATAAAACACTGATCAAACTATACAATCTGATTCTGTATAAAAACACTGATCATACTGTACAATCTGATTCTGTATAAAAACACTGATCAAACTGTATAATCTGATTCTGTATAAAACACTGATCATACTGTACAATCTGATTCTGTAATAACACTGATCATACTGTACAATCTGATTCTGTATAAAAACACTGATCATACTGTACAATCTGATTCTGTATAAAACACTGATCATACTGTACAATCTGATTGTGTATAAAAACACTGATCATACTGTACAATCTGATTCTGTATAAAAACACTGATAAAACTGTACAATCTGATTCTGTATAAAAACACTGATCAAACTGTACAATCTGATTCTGTATAAAACACTGATCAAACTGTACAATCTGATTCTGTATAAAACACTGATCAAACTGTACAATCTGATTTTGTATAAAACACTGATCAAACTGTACAATCTGATTCTGTTTAAAACACTGATCAAACTGTACAATCTGATTCTGTATAAAACACTGATCAAACTGTACAATCTGAGTCTGTATAAAACACTGATCATAATGTGCAATCTGATTTTGTATAAAACACTGATCAAACTGTACAATCTGATTCCGTATAAAAACACTGATCAAACTGTACAATCTGATTCTGTATAAAAACACTGATCAAACTGTACAATCTGATTCCGTATAAAAACACTGATCAAACTGTACAATCTGATTCCGTATAAAAACACTGATCAAACTGTACAATCTGATTCTGTATAAAAACACTGATCAAACTGTACAATCTGATTCTGTATAAAACACTGATCAAACTGTACAATCTACAAAACGATATCATGCCTCCATTTCATTTAGTGGATATTAACACTGCTGCGCTTCTGGCATGCAGTTTTCAGGCTATGTTCTGAATGAGATTTTAGTCTTCACAAATTACCTTGACTTCTGTTTTTCCACTGTTCAAACTGAGATCTTCGTCTTGACTTTCTGCTGCTTTTATATTTATCATTTCTTGTTAAACGTATTTAAGCTCTAGCAATTAAATGATGTAAGTATATCAGACCAACTGATATTCCTTTCACATCTTGTATGGATCTCATTATTGTTTCTATATACAGTGGAACTCCAGCATCCTAATGTTCCTGGATACTAGTTTTTTAGGTTGTGAGGTCATGGTTTCTAATCTTTATTGCTGCAGGATACGAGGTGAAATTAAGGATGTGAGTTAGAGAGATGAGAACTCTCTGCATTACCCAACAGCTTCTATAGCTTTTACATGGATTAGGTCACGTTAACACTGCTGAAGGAGGACATGAGCCAGTCGACAAGACACTAGTTGATGATGGACTGTAGTACTGTGGTCGGAAGTAACCCCACTTCCCGCTGCCGGCAGAAACAAATTAAAATTATTTACACTGATTTTAATAGGGAAAACAGTTTCAGGATACAAGTTATTTACCATATGAGCTCATTCAAGAAACAACGAAATAGGACATTCATATTCTGAAGTTCAGGCAATGAACAAGGAACTTGACTACTACACTCCATACACCACTGACCACTACACTCCATACACCACTGACCACTACACTCCATACACCACTGACCACTACACTCCATACACCACTGACCACATACATGAGATAGGGTCTCACAACTGCAGCAGCAGAACAAGTCATTTATACATTAAAATGTTTCATACCTGGTCTTCAAATATGGTGACACATCAGCAATAAAAAATATGAACTCAGTGCATCAATTAAACTTAATTCAAAAATCAAAAAATTAAAAAAAGGAATACGTTTTAAAAAAATACCAAAAAAAAAAAAAAAAAAAACCCAGATCAGAGTTGAAATTAAAATACAGACATTTAGCTGTGGACACAAAGAAAGATCTTATACAAAGCATATATATTCCAACCCTATGCTACCAGTGCCCAACATGGTCACTCACAACAAACCAAAAAAGACAGTAACCATGGAAATTAGGTGTCTGAGAAAGGCTGTAGGAGTGACCAGAAGAGATCATATTTAGAATGAGGTAATAAAAGAAAAGGTAGTCACAGAACCATTTGTACATTACTTACAAAGACAGCAGAAAAAATGTACAAGGCATGCACAAAAAAGAGGACATAAAGAGCACAAGAACAAGATGGAAAGATAACATTAAAGAAACTGTGCAACAGCATTCTGTGTCTATGGTTAAAGAGGCCTGAAGAGCAAGAAGCAGAACCTAAGTCTAACTCCCTTGACATCTGAAGTGGTAAAAGAGGACATGAAGAAGAAGTTGTGGAAATATCTTGTGCTTCTGAACAGACATTTCCAAAAAAAAAAAGCTAGGAAAACTGAAAATGTTGATGTCGGTGGGCTAACCTGAGGGACTTCTAGCTGTATCTCCCTCAAAGCACTTGGTTTCACACGTAGCCCTGCATGCACTAGGTCCTTCAAGGCAAGTTTTACTGTTTCAGATTGGACTGAAGCTGCCTCACTGCTAAGAGAGTGCATGTATGCTGCAGAAGAACCAAAACAACTGGCACTAGAGGATAAGTGCTAAATACACTTAATTTCAGTTGTGCTGCATGATAAGACATAACTAAGTTAAATAAATGTATTTTTTTTTACAATTAATCTTAACACTTAACAACACACACAAGTCTGGGTACACCAGTGACACCACTATGTCCTTATTTGATTGGATTTGATTCAATAACAGACATCACAGCACTTGGGGCATTCCCATAAGCGCTCTGTCCCCATCTTCAGCAGCCAGTACTGTACAAGCTCTCCCACAAGGCACTAACCACTTCTGCCTTATCATGTATCAGTATTCCACCGAGTTATGCAGAGCCAGCCAGTCTGTCCACCTGTTCATTTCCCAACACTCGGGCATCCCCCGTGAAAAAATCCAGACAATACCCCTCACCCATGTCCTCCGCAGCGAAGCATGCCACTCTGCACGAAGCATACCTGTTCTCATCTTCATCAGCGGTAATAGGCCAATAATTTATTACCAGCCGTATTCCTCCCTTGTTCAATTTCAGAGTTTACCTGGAGGTAAGCAAATCTCTCCTTTCATCCTTACATACACCAGCAAAGCCACTTCAAGTCTTCTAAGACATTCAAGTTATTAGTTGGCATCTTTCTGTCTCTTCCAAATGGTAGTGCTGTAAGGAGGCATGTGAATCAATCCCTGGAGACTGCCAGTGACACTAGCAAGACCCATGTGTGTTATGTCTTCTACAATGAGAGCACAGGATTCCACCACCAGTGTCGTCACTGCCAAGTTTGTAACATGCCTTTTCACAGACATTCAGTTAGTTCTGAACCTATGTGCAATCATTTTCTCTGTTATTTCTATTCTTCCCCTCTGCGCAACATGGTCCATGGCATTCTGCTGCCACCCTGATGCTGATTCCTTGACCCCAGCATAGGTTTTTATCTACTGAGGACCCCAGCATAGGTTCTTATCTACTGAGGATCCCAGGTAGGTCAAATGTCTCCAGCTCTTCACCATCAATCCTTTGCCTTCTGTTTTCACCATAAGAAGGTTTTACAGCTAGACTATGATATCTGCACATTTCAGTCAAACCCTAATCAGTCATCTTTACAACATGGCTGTAAGGGGGCAGTGGGTCTGCCCCCCCCCCCCCCCCACTCCAAATAAATGGGGCCTTTGAACCCACACAGGAAGTTTACCATCAATGAAGACTGCAGATCTGTCATTAGTATCTTGCATCGTAATCTGTCTTCATTTTTCTGATTTGTTCAAATTTATAACAGGCATCAGAAAATGCAGACAGTAAAAATTGCAGTTTCTCCTTTAAGTGGGTGTGTGTTGTCCATCAAGATGTTGATGACCACTCTGTTTCATCAAGTATGAGTACAAAGATGACTGGTGAGGCTAATGCGGGCCCGAAATGTTCTTGAACAGTGAAGACAGGAAATGAGTGTTATGCCAGGGAGGGGATCACCTGCAGTCGCCTTTCTGTCCATCCTTTATTTTTAACCCTACCAGACCTGAGGCCCTGAGCCTAACTGCCCCCTATAACTGAGCTCCTGGGCATGAACACGAAAAAAACCAACATGATATTCAAAAATATTAGTTACATGCAAACAAGTGGTTAGAATAAGTTTAAACTTGCAGACATTGTAGAAAATAGGTTTACCTTTCACCTCGCGCCAATATTCCACCTTTGTGTGCAATTCTACCCAGAAAGATCGCAATTGTTTCACAAAGTGGTTAGAATAAGTTTAAACTTGGAGACATTGTAGAAAATAGGTTTACCTTTCATCTAGCGCTAATATTCCACATTTGTGTGCAATTCTACCCAGAAAGATCGCCATTGTTTCCCAAAGTGGTTAGAATAAGTTTAAACTTAGAGACATTGTAGAAAATAGGTTTACCTTTCATCTAGCGCTAATATTCCACCTTTGTGTGCAATTCTACCCAGAAAGATCACCATTGTTTCACAAAGTGGTTAGAATAAGTTTAAACTTGGAGACATTGTAGAAAATAGGTTTACCTTTCATCTAGCGCTAATATTCCACCTTTGTGTGCAATTCTACCCAGAAAGATCGCCATTGTTTGACAAAGGGGGCACCAGATGTTGCTGTTTGAGGGACATGTCCCTTTTCTTACTTTCGCTCGTTTTATTGTGAATTTTCAGAATTTTTTCCCCCGTCAAACAACACAAAGAAAAATCAGACACATGTGGGCAGCAATTCTCAATGACAAACCACGAGGTCTGATAACGATTGGCTAGTTATCTTTAGTTTGTGAGGCATTGTTTTCTCATAGTACGCATATTTCAGACATTGAGGGACAGCGGTTTAGGGGCAGATTAGGAAATTCCTGTAATAGCGGGCCAGCGGTCTGGTAGAGTTAATCAGTCTTGCTGTTTTGTCTGCTTCACCCGTTTGCTCGGGTGGTGATTGCAGCACATCTGCAAAAGTTCAGCTCTCTGATGAGGATCTTCCTAATCTTTATCTTCTGTCTATGAGCATTGCAGAGACGTCAAGTTGTAGTAAAGGATGAAACAGATGAGTGCATGTGGCCAAGTGGTCATTCTGTTTGCCTCATGGTCTGAAGGTCTTTGGTTTGATTCATTAATGCACTTATTTTCTCTGATCTCAGTGGAAAGGGGCTGCAGCAACAGAGTTTGAACTTTGTATTATTACCTGGACAGGCAGCCAGTCTCTCAGGAAAGCAAGAGCAAGCCATATGGGATTAAATCGGAAGTACTGAGAAAATTGCATCCTAAATCCTTTCACAGTTATCACAAACAAGCCATTCTGCAGTCTTAGCAGAGTTTAACTAACTTGAGAGCAAGGATTAAACAGCAGACACAACTAAGATTACAGATGACTGCATTAAGCAAGTAAGTAACAAAGATGTTTACATGCAGGGTGAACAGCAGAACTTACATTTGTAACCGGGTAACAGAAGAGGAAGATAAAGGAACAACTTTTTAGATAAAATATACAACAGAAAGAAATGTTAATCCTAGATATAATATTACAGAATATGCAAAGAGACATCAGAACAGGACAATCCAGTCTCTGCGCACATTATGAGAAGGGGAAAACTGAAATTTGTTATGACAACAGGAAAGTTAGAGGGAAAGAAAGGCATTTGGGGACATAGACACACAAATTTACACCCGCACACACTCACACAGAGAGAGAGAGAGAGAGAAAGAAAGAGAGAGAAGTTGTACAGTTTGGCATCATGAAATGTTAAGATCATCTGCATCAGAAATAACTGGCATCAGATGAGACCCAAAAAAAAAAAACCTTTGAACAGACAAAACTACTATAAGAAGACAAGAGACACATCAGTATCTCCATGTGATACAAGAAAAAATAAACCATTATATCACGAGTAATTTGCATATTATTCACCTTCGTTTATGAGTGCACACAAATCTGCCCCTACATAGCCATGGGCATTTCTTGCTGCAGCCTCAATGTCCTCGGCTGTCAGGTTATGGGCTACTTTGTTCAGCAACACCTCAAGTATCTGAGCAATCGTAATAAAATGTTATGTGGTTCATTGTTTAGCTAGACCTAAAGTATCTGAGCAATTGGAATAAACAAGTTATAGAGTACTTTGTTCAGCAACACCTCAAGTATCTAAGCAACTTGAATAAACAAATTATAGAGTACTCTGTTCAGCAACACCTCAAGTATATGAGCAATTGGAATAAACAAGTTACAGAGTACTTTGTTCAGCGACACCTCAAGTATCTGAGCAACTGGAATAAAGTTATAGAGTACTTTGTTCAGCAACACTTCTAGTATCTGAGCAATTGGAATAAACAAGTTATAGAGTACTCTGTTCAGCAACACCTCAAGTATCTGAGCAACTGGAATACAGTTATAGAGTACTTTGTTCAGCAACACCTCTAGTATCTGAGCAACTGGAATAAACAAGTTATAGAGTACTCTGTTCAGCAACACCTCAAGTATCTAAGCAGCTGGAATAAACAAACAACTTATAGAGTACTTTGTTCAGCAACACCTTAAGTATCTGAGTAATTGGAAAAAACAAGTTATAGAGTACTTTGTTCAGCAATACCTCAAATATCTGAGCAATTGGAATAAACAAGTTTTAGAGTACTTTGTTCAGCAACACCTCAAGTATCTGAGCACTTGGAATAAACAAGTTTCATTGCTCGCAACAACCCAAGTATCTGAACAACTGAAATAAACAAGTTATGGGGTTGAGTGTTTGGGAACACCTCAAGTTAACAGATAATTGGAATAAATGTGTCATATGGTATTTTGTTGTGCAAAATCTGAAGTATTTGAGCAATTGGAATAAACAAATTATGGGGTGCTTTACTCAGCAAGACCTCACATATCTGAGCAACTGAAATTAAAAAGCTATGGCGTACTTTGTTCAGCAAGACCCCCAGTGTCTAAGCAATTGGATAAAACAAGTTATGGGATACTTTGTTCAGCAAGAACTAAAAAATCTCAGCAACTGGATTAAACAAGATAAGCAGTTCACTGTTCACCAAAAACTCGAGTATCTGAGCAAGTGGAATAAACAAGTTATAGGGTACTTTGTTCAACAAGACTTAAAATATATGAGCAATTGAAATATACAAGTTATGTATTTCAATGTTCAACGAGGCCTCAAATATGTGAGCTATTGGAAATGACAATTAATGAGTTACTTTGTTCAGAAATAACTCAAACATCTGAGCAAACTGCTTCCAGTAAGAGTCATGGGCGACAAATGATATAATACAGTTACAAGTCATCTCATGGCAGACACTGCTGCAGAATGCTTGCAGACTCAAGTCTTCACATAGATTAGATGATGACATAATGAGGTGAAGTAATCATTCCCCTTCCTCAGCTCCTTTCCTTCACAAGTTATCATCAGAGAATTCTGATTCAGAAATTACTGGCAGTGCTTGAGTCAGAAGGAGGTGACCAGACATGACTAGCATTAACACATGGCACAAACTATAAGGAAATAAGTTAGAACCATGTTTATCCATTTTATTATATTCTCACCCTTCCAATATCTAACTCTTCACATTCATATTTAAGCTTTTTATTGTCTGATTCCCCATTCTGATAGTAAAAGTTAAAGTAAAGGACCCTTTTCACGCCTTTAGGCGTATAGGGCATATAGGGCTAGACCTATATTTTTATAGACCAGTCGGCACAAGATGGATGATGTGGTCAGCATCACGCCGGCCGCCTTTACTTTCCCGGGACTGCACCCGTTACCCACTCAAGGCTGGGTCGACCTCCATTCTGATAGACTGATTATAATCTAATGTTTCTATTACCTGAGCTCAACAAGGCTGAATTTTAAGCAACATCACAAAACAAATGAGCAGCTAATAATGACAACCAAACACACGACTCACTTCTCTCCTTTGAGCGGCTGTTGGAACTCCTACTTCAACCTCACACCCAAACCTGCCTGCCCGCCTCAAGGCTGGATCAATGTTGTCCCTGTTGTTGGTGATGCCAATAACAACAACAATTTGGTGTGGATTTTGCTGTGGAGCAATGATATTTACTCAGACACAACAGAAGTCTCACTATTCACATCATATTTTTTATACATTAGATCAATTTTAATTGGCTGTGCTTTTAAAATTTATTCACGGTCAAATGAGTTTTGCTGCTTTGGTCAGAACCATGGAGAATAATTTCTAATAAATTACAAACATTCATTACTGGATGCCTGTACAGATAAGAAATAATGAAACAGTACGACAGAAACACTACTGTAAGGATTATGAAGAGGACTAAACCTCAATGAATCAGAAAAGTGAAGAAATGTCAGTGGCCCATATTGAGAAAATAAAATGATGTAACTAGAAAATTCTTTTTCTGGAACCTGGAGGACTCTGTAATCTGAAAGCACACCTTAACCTAGTTAACTGTTTTAGTGTATTCTGTATGATTTCCCTGTTTCCACTCTTAGCTGCCTGTTCATATTCACATAGTATGTCAAGATATCTTCTATTATCTTGCCTTGCACAATTTTAAAAAAATGTTCTTCCTGTAATCTTCTTTAGCCCTGATGTCTTGTTCTGTTGTTTTAGCAATGCATATAACAAGCTTCAATTCTGCACAACAGACACTAAAAAAAATTTAACTTTAATCAGAGATGAAAGAAAATTGCAATGATACAATTTTCTATGCATATTGTAACAAGTCACCAATAATTTACAATACGATACAAAACTCACGACTGATGCAAGGCTATCTAAGAGAGTAAGAAGGGTTCCCACAATTCTCTGCTCCTGCTGCCCTGCCTGAACCTGAGAACGTTTTGGGCACATCACATCAATGTCATCAATGACAACTATACTTGGGGCTCTGTGAATAAACAGTTAAGGTCTCTGTAAGGCAGTCTTATCATTCTGATATTCATCATTGTGCAGACAGGAGATGCCAGGTTGGGGAATACCCACCTAGACATCTCTTCCCCTGCTTGTAGGGAGGGTATACTGAACAAAGATGTTAAACTGTAAGAATCAACAGTGACGTTTATTGTGATGAAGCCTGCCAAAGACCGTGCACACTACCAGACTGCAAGATGAAGAATATAATCATCACCCATGCTATGCATCCCGTCTGGAGAATTAGCATGTATGCTTGGAATAAGTGTATGGCTTCCTTACTAACTTTTTAAGAAGTTGAATAGAACAATAACTAAGGACACATTTTACAAGCAAACAGGAGACAACAGTGGGAAATATAAACAGTATGTGTTTAAGAGTTGCAGTAGTTAGCAATTTCTTTTAAATATCTTTTCCAAAGCATGAATTTCCCTTGATTCATATTTCTTTCAAAACAATGTTCTCCTGTAGTGAATTTAAATACTGCGGACACAAACTGCACAATTTATTGCCTGGCATCTTTTTCTGTATCCCTACATGTGCAATACTCAAGTTACATCAACATTTAATGAAGCATAAAAACTGAATTAATTCCACTGAAATACAAATGGGCTCTCTCGTATTTCTTTCAGTAACTCTTTTCATCTGGTCTTCTTTAAAAAATTAATTATGACAACGAATCAAAAACCTAGCAGGTTTCCTATTCACAAGAATACTGCCTTTCATTTTGTGAAAAATCAAAAATATATGCTTTTTATTGAGCCCAGTCTTCTCACACTATAGGCACATGTATTAACCTCTAAGCTATTTCATCTGCAGTTTGAAAAACTATCTCTGTTCCAAAAACTCTAAATAAATGTCTATAACAATTGTCAATGCTACTTTTGCCACTCACTTATTCTGTGCTGACTTGAACACTTTGCACAGATTTGACTCAGCTTCCCCAAACAATCTGGACAATATAATCATGAAGAAACAAATTAGTAGAAGGCAATAAGATGAACACAAGAGACAGAATCTTCTTCTTCTTCTCAAAGTCCATGCTGTGTGGTGTTGGATGTCATGTCAATCCACAACCTCCTGTCTTGTGTACTTTCAATCAACTCTGACACAGACGATCTTCCATGCCATGCTGTCAAAATGTCCAGCATCTGTCTCTTTGTCTCCCTCTGCCTCTCCTACAACTTTCCTACCGTCACAATGTAGTCCAGTTTTCTCCTTCTCAACACATGGCCAAAGAATGTAGATTCTCTCTTTCTGACGTGGGCAATCAGTTCTCTTCGCCAGTCAGTTTCTTTCAAGACATCATCGTTTCTCTTTTTATCTGTCCAGGGTATTCTCATCATTCGTCTATAAAACTACATCTCCGCAGCTTCCAAATAAGTTTTCACTAATTTACTAACTGTCCATGATTTACATCTGTACATCAATATAGGATTTATATAACTTTTAAGAATTATCTTTTTTTCGTCTTAATTGACAAAGCAAGATTGCATAAAATATTCTTCATTTTTCAAAATCCATCTTTGCTTGAGCTATTTGACATTTAACTTCCTTAATATAAATGCATATCTATGTGTAGGACAGGCTGTCTCCAAAAGGTCACAAACAACCAAATTAGCTGATGTTATGAACAGCAGTTTTGCCCCACAAAAGAGACAAAGTTATTCAATCGTCACCAGTACAAAGAAGTTAAGCTAAATTCATATCTGCTCTGTTTACTTATCCTCCATCCCTTCTTTCACTCTTTCACTTCAAGACACACTTAAATCTATCAAAAACTGTGTCAAAGGCAGCTACTAACTTGCTCCAGATATCTGTACCAGTCATATACGTGGTTGCCATGTCCAGGTCAAGGGTCAGAGCTTTGACAAGAAGTGATTTCCCTGTGCCAGGTGGTCCATGGAGAAGTATGCAGCGATTTATGCACTTTGGCTGTAAAGCTAAACAGAAAATACAGAAGCATATTTACATGAAATGTGACATGCCAGAATGAGCAATTATCATTGTCCAAACAAAGACACTTTCACTACTTTATTAATGCATATTTGTCACATAAGTTCAAGTTAAATCTTTTCAGAAACATAAAAGACATGAGAATAAGGACTTTTTTTTTTAAAAAAAAAGGATTATTTTGATGTGAAGTATTACTTTAAAAAACACATGTAACCTGAGGTGAGGTCTCAAGTCTGGTTGTTAGAGAAATAACTTTTACCACTTAAGGTGATGGCTATGAAATGTGTGCCAGGTATTGTGTAGCAAGTATAAGAATTCATCTCTGTGCAACCTCTATTATTTGGCTGAATTCTCGAAGCATTTGCTCATTGGCATTATCTTTGTCATAACAACCAGTGAGCCAGCCAGAAGTTACTCCCTGACTGTACAACAGCCATGACTACAATTTCACTGTTACTTCTTCTTCTTCGCGTTCACCAGCTGTAAACTCTGGCGGAAGGTTCTGGTTGCTCGTCCACTACTGAACTGCAGTCCTGCTCCAGAACCTGAGTGTTGTGTGTGCATCAGTTTTACAGATCTCATTCTCTTGAATACAGACTGTTGGTTCCTTGCCTCTCCGGCAGATGCACTCCTACTTCAAAGGAAGCTCCCCAATTAGTCGACTCTTACAACATGCTTTTGAGAAGGCAGTGGGTAAATCCTTGTTTTCCCCACAATGGGGCCCCGGAACCCACACGGGTGAGATCACTGTTACTATCAGCTTCACTTCTCATATGCCTGATTCAGGTGTCATTTCACTTTTCTTTATAAACTTCTCCCTGCCCTAAACTTCCCTTGCAAGGGCAGAAAAACCACTGGAAAGACATGAAGCAAGTGTTAGCTTTACAGAACATAAAAAAATTAACAAACAGAGGATGTTGTGGTGACAAGTCCTTATCAGCAAACAAGGAGAAACAAAACACAAAAAGGAAATGACACTCAGATACCTAATTGCATTGCAACATTATGCAAAAAAAAAAATTTAAAAAAAAATAATAAATGCATTAATGGAATAAATTGCACGATACTTTCATAACTTGTAACTGCCATTATGTTATTTATTCCCTACTGGCTGTCCTTGTTTATGCTAACAGTAATTAAAGAAATATTTCATCGGAACACATGTAATGACTACCATTTTTTGGGGTTTATGATCAGATTATTTTATTTTTAGACATAAAATTTTAATGATTGAGAAAAGCAGGAAATCAATAATCAAGAATTCTAAAGCAAGCTCAGCATTCAGAAAACATGGTTTACTAATTACCTCTGAGAATTCTTGTTTTCAGTTCTTCAACCTGTAATCTCATGCCCCCGACATCAGCCAGTGAGACATGAGGCTTATTCTGATCAACATTGCCCCTGATTTCTGCAGCTAACTGCAAAGAAACTGTAGTGAACTTGGAAGACACTTTGGCAAAAACCTGGCTGGACAATGTGTTAGAATCGCCAGACTGCCCTCTGGTGCTGATGGGAGTCATTAGGTTTGGGAAAGTGTCTCTGGGGCACATTTTTGGTGTGGAGGTTGTAGGACTAATAGTTAAACTTGCAATATCAAGATCTATCACAGAGGGATCTTGAGTAGGTGTAGACAGTACATTCCCATCAACAATTGGAGAGGAACCTCCTTGAGTTGACTCTCTTAGTTCTGCAACTGTGCGTCTCTGGGGAGTCTGGTTGCCTCCAGTTTGTAGGTATTCTGAAGCCTGTGGTTCTACAGATGAAGCAGGTTCTGGGACTGTTCTCTCACAGGGTAGTGATGTTGTGTCACAAATCAAACTGTTTACATGGCAATAGCAGACTTGCCCAAAGTACTTTACTGTCAATGGTGTTCCTTTTGTGATGTATCTGCCATCTGCCAAACAAATAAATGATACATAAAGGATGAAGTTAAAGGGATATTTTCATGTGACATAGGGAGTGTTGCTAAAGGGATATTTTCATTTGATGTGGGGGTATTGCTAAAGGGATATTTCTATGTGATATGGTGGTGTTGCTAAAGGGATAGTTTTATGTGACATAGAGGGTGTTACTAAGAGATATTTTATGTGACATAGTTATGTTACTAAAGAGATATTTTTATGTGATGTAGAGTGTGTTGTTAAAGGGTATTTTTATGTGATGTAGAGGGTGTTGCTAAATAGATTTTTTTATCTGATGTAGAGGGTGTTGTTACTGATACAGATACTGGTACTATCTGCCACAGCGAGCCACACTAAAACGTTACAACTGGTATAAAGTGAGTGGAAGACCTCGGAAAATATGGAGTGATGACATTAAGAACAGCCTTACAGAAATGAACATCAGTCTTAATAGTGCTCTTGACAGAGCTCATCAACGAACATTACATCTCCCCCCGACACTTCGATGAGGTACAAGGTGGAAGAGAAGAAGAAGAAGAAGAGGGTGTTGCTAAATAGATTTTTTTATCTGATGTAGAGGGTGTTGTTAAAGGGTTTTTCATGTGATGTAGAGGGTGTTGTTAAAGGGTATTTTCATGTGATGTAGAGGGTGTTGTTAAAGGGTATTTTCATGTGATGTAGAGGGTGCTGTTAAAGGGTATTTTCATGTGATGTAGAGAGTGCTGTTAAAGGGTATTTTCATGTGATGTAGAGAGTGTTGTTAAAGGGTATTTTCATGTGATGTAGAGGGTGTTGTTAAAGGGTATTTTCATGTGATGTAGAGGGTGTTGTTAAAGGGTATTTTCATGTGATGTAGAGGGTGTTGTTAAAGGGTATTTTCATGTGATGTAGAGGGTGTTGTTAAAGGGTATTTTCATGTGATGTAGAGGGTGTTGTTAAAGGGTATTTTCATGTGATGTAGAGTGTTGTTAAAGGGTATTTTCATGTGATGTAGAGGGTGCTGTTAAAGGGATATTTTCATGTGATGTAGAGGGTGTTGTTAAAGGGTATTTTCATGTGATGTAGAGTGTTGTTAAAGGGTATTTTCATGTGATGTAGAGGGTGTTGTTAAAGGGATATTTTCATGTGATGTAGAGGGTGTTGTTAAAGGATATTTTCATGTGACGTAGAGGGTGTTGTTAAAGGGTATTTTCATGTGATGTAGAGGGTGTTGTTAAAGGGATATTTTCATGTGATGTAGAGGGTGTTGCTAAAGGGATAGTTTTATGTGAGAGTTTTAAGAGTATAAAGTTACTGTTTAGAAACAAAGTAAAAACTGGCTTTATTCAGGTTAAATAAGAAGATACAAAAGTAGGTCTGTCTTCGATAAATATTGAGAAATATATCAATTTAAATAAAGGATGAACAACTGACTATGTGTCTATGATTGGCCACTTTTCCAGCCTGGAACTTTTAATTGAAGATTTGACACAGTGGTCCAGATGTCAATCTAACTGTAATAAACTAAGATAACCTGTTGAAACAGAAATGGTTATAACTAGAGTACCCCACAGGTTACACATAGTACTATTTTGACGTAACCTGCTGTCCCAGGTGGGTGATGGTTTGTGTAATAAAATAAACAATAACCAGACACAAAACTTACTAAAATAATTAACAATTGAAGAAAACTGGTGGTATTTACCACAAACACTAGGCTACCTAAATATGATGTCATGAAGGAAAGAAACTCAGCCTTTTCAAACACATCATTGGGTTCTCTGAAATCATAAAGCAGATCACAATCATTCAGCTAGTTAACCTCAGTTTTACTGTTTATAGTGGACAAAACTGACAGATCTTAAAAGACCTAAACTTGCACCAGGAGGTAATGGAAGATAATGTATCCTGAATGCAATTACAGGTCAATGGTTATACCAGCCTGTATCTCAGGTGATTTGTTCCTGTCAGTTAACACAGTTTATCAGTTTAGTAAACCTAGGACTTGCTGGCTCATCAGTTGCTATTTTATTATGTCAATTATAGATATTTCAACCCAATCTCCCATTTACCCATGTTTCCACTAAACATTCCTCCAAAGCTAGCACCATTTACACATGTCTCCACTAAAAATTCCCCTAAAGCTAGCACCATTTACCCATGTCTCCACTAAAAATTCCCATAAAGCTAGCACCATTTACCCATGTCTCCACTAAAAATTCCCATAAAGCTAGCACCATTTACCCATGTCTCCACTAAACATTCCCCCAAAGCTAGCACCATTTACCCATGTTTCCACTTAACACTCCCTTAAAGCTAGCACCATTTACCCATGTCTCCACTAAACATTCCCCCAAAGCTAGCACCATTTACACATGTCTCCACTGAAAATTCCCCTAAAGCTAGCACCATTTACCCATGTCTCCACTAAAAATTCCCCTGAAGCTAGCACCATTTACCCATGTCTCCACTAAAAATTCCCATAAAGCTAGCACCATTTACCCATGTCTCCACTAAAAATTCCCCTAAAGCTAGCACCATTTACCATGTCTCCACTAAACATTCCCCCAAAGCTAGCACCATTTACCCATGTTTCCACTTAACACTCCCCAAAGCTAGCACCATTTACCCATGTCTCCACTAAACATTCCCCCAAAGCTAGCACCATTTACCCATGTTTCCACTAAACATTCCCCCAAAGCTAGCACTATTTACCCATGTCTCCACTAAACATTCCCCCAAAGCCAGCACTATTTACCCCTGTCTCCACTAAACATTCCCCCAAAGCCAGCACCATTTACTCATGTCTCCACTAAACATTCCCCCAAAGCTAGCACTTTTTACCCTATCTCCACTAAACATTCCTCCATACCTAACAAGTATGTTACTGGTATTCCTGAGTGCTGTTCTAGTGCCAGCAACTGGGTGTTAAAGGTAGAAAACTGTCTGGCTGTGATACAGGATCAGGCAGACCTACACCTTTATTACGCCTGTTCATATTGTTATGAAATGTACTCTCGGAAGGAAGAACAACAAAATGTCAGCCAAGGATATCTTGTAGGGAACCACAGAAAATGAGGTGAAGAAAAACAAGCCAGGTTGTGGGGTAAATGAAGGGCTGACTAAACCGAGTAAAGAGTTTGTTGCTGGTCATCTGACATTACTATTTGTAGCCATCACAGTGCCTGACTTCTTTCACAGTTTCATTCCGTCCATTTAAATTGTATATTTAAATATATATATGAAGCTGAATTTGTTGTCCAACTGAAGCTTTCAATATCTGCTGGTGAAGACTAAGAAGCCAATCACTTAGGAGCAAATGCTACAAGCTACAATTAACTTTGATGCAATGCTGTCGAAAACAAAAACATTAGTTGTATTGGTTACTTTAAAAAAAAAATACTAACAGAGATCAGGACTATTCAAATATATAAGACTGCCGATGATACAGATCATTGTGAGGTGTGCATAAAGATCTGTAAGTGAGAAGAGAGAAAGTTTCTCACCTCAATAAGCTTCTAATTCAAGGCATGCAACAATTATTTTAATAATTTCATTAATTGATGATTATGAGGAATTGATTTCAAATGCTGAATGTTGCAGTTGCTATAAAAGTTTTACAAGAGATTATTTTTGTCTGCAGTCACGTTCGTATCCAAGTCACAATTAATCACAAATACACTGCTAAAGAGTTGTTGAGAATATGGAAAACAGTTCAACAAATCACAGACGATACTAGGAAGTTGTGACAATAAAAATTGATACTCAGTACAATAAAGTACCATAAACTGCATCATACAAGCCAAACTAAAGATTTCTAGATCAGAATTGTCAGTGAAGCCTATACATATCTAACACGTTTTATACCCGCCACATTAGTCGACACCTTAGTTTCTAAAAGATTTTTTAGGCTTGCAAATTCAACGTATAAGCCACAATTTACAATAAAAGATATATCACCCAATGCAAGAATATCACATCAGTGACAATACGGCAGACATGACAGTGGCCATACTGACTGTCCAAAGAACAATCAGATACCCATTTTATAAAGCTGGCGTGACCTCAAAATATAAGAGGTAACATCCAGCATGAACAGTATAGGATATACTGAAGTATCATCATCAAGTGCCATGCCAAGTGATTAGAAAAAAAATTATCATAACAGCACTCCGGACAGATCCATAGCAGCTCTGATCTCCTCCTCAAAAGCTCCACAAATGTAAAATAACTGATGATGCCTGTTCTGTGCTGGTTAATGAAACGTCTTGTCCCTTTAGTGAAATGTTCATTTTTTGCAGCTTCAGGCTGCACCCCCATGTTCATCAGTCTAGACAGGGATATGGAGTCATGTCCGTCAGCGTGCTCCTCGGTACTTTTAAGTGCAGCGCATGGCATTGATAACATCACTTCTGTCCAGTACTGGGCCAGCCATAGCAACTGCAGTGTCAGCAAGATATTTTACATGATTGTTCCTTTGAGCACATAAATGACCTGGCACAAAGATGAAAGTTAGGGCAGCTATTCGTAAAGTGCTTAGTGTTGCAATCCATTCTTGCCTAATAAATCCAGCTTGGATTTTTTTTAAGCATATTCATCGAGTCACTAATGTGTGTGAACTTTTGAGTGCCATGCCAAGTGGTTTGGGCTATCATACTTCTCCACATCATGCAATCTCGAACAAAATGTATCCGTATGTAAGCTGACACCTTCCCTAGCCATGACTCAAGGCTGTCAAGAATCTTCTTTCACTGTCTTCCACTGACCCTCTTTCCACAATTCTTTCTAGTTATCCCAGTATTTTGTAGTTTTTCTCTTCTCATTTGGACAAAAAAATTATGACTGTCTCTAATGTTCTTCTTCTTCGCATTCATCAGCTGTAAACTCTAGCGGAAAGTTCTGGTTGTTTATCCACTTCTGGACTGCGGTCCTGTTCCAGAACCTGAGTGTTGCGTGTGCACCCGTTTCACAGATCTAACTTGTATGCAGACTGCTGGTTCCTTGCCTCTCAGGCAAATGCACTCTAACTTCGAAGGAAGTTCCCAATTAGTTAGTTGACTCTTACGACATGCATTTGGGTAGGCAGTGGGTTTTCTAATGTTCACGTTAAGTTGTCTTTAGATCTCAGTGTCTTTTAAAACATTCAGATTATCTTCGCTGTCCTCTAAATTTTAAGCATTCTTCTGCATTTCTCTGACTATCAAAGATTTTGTTTCACCAGTTTATTTACTGTCCATGATTCACAGCCATATGCTAAAACTGGTTCTATGTATGTTGATTATCCTTACCTAATTGTAAGCACCACAGACTGCGCCACATTGTCATTTGGGAAAAACCTCTCTACAGTCACTGTATCATTTTCCTTCATTCCAAGTTCCATGATGCACTGATCAGTTAAAGCAACTTTAGATAACGGTAATACTTTCAGTGGCCAAGCTCTCTTCACAAGGAGTTTGTTAAGTATACAGGGTTGGCCAATTGACAAGCCACACACTTGCATTGTTGAGACAGCTAGCCAAACTACACTGTCCTTGTCTCTAATGCTTTGGGTAATAACAGAGCCATCTGAAAAACAAAACAGGGTACATGAAAAATATTCAACGTAGATGACTATAAAACTAGTGATTCTTCTTCTTGTTTAAAGGCTGTAAACTTCAGTGGAAAGATCTGGTTATTCATTCCCTTCTGGACTGTAGTCTTATTCCAAAACTTCCTTGAGTTTTGCCTGCACATCAGTTATACAGATCTGACATATGAAATAAACCATCGGTTCCCAGCTGATGCACTCTGTCTCAGAATTACCCCTAATTAGTCTTCTTTGACAAGATGCTTGTTAAAGGGCTGTGCGTCTTAACCCCCCCCCCCCCCCCCCCCCCCATATGGGGGGCCCGGACCACACACCAGTATAGTGACTCAAATTCTGCACTTTCTCTCTTTCTAAGGGATTATCTCTACTCAAATTTTTTGACATGCCTCAACTTCTTCTTCTTATAATTATCATTATTCTGCTTTTTATCTCCCAGTGGAGTAAATGACCTCAACTAACTCTCATCAAGCTCTCCCATTCTTTGCTGTCTGCTTGCAATTCCTCTGATGTCCCTATATTATACATCGGTCTGTAAATCTTCTCCGTCCATTTTAAATTTGGATCTATTTCTTTCGACTTGTAGGTTATTGAGAAAGGACAATCTAGTAATGCTAGTAACCTAGGTATCCCAGTTTGTTTTCTTTCTTGAGGTTTCTATTATTAAATTTGTGGCTCGGAACATCAACTTTTACAACTGGATTGTCAGGAGAGCACCGTAAAACAGTCGCCTTTTCAGTGTTGATGACAGCATCTATTGCTTCACACCAGTTAGTCACTTTGTATAAAGTTGCCTGTCATTCTTGGGCTGACTGCTGCCTTTCGCTCCCATGTCTATATGCAAGAACTTCATCTGCAAATGCCAATATCCTTTCAATCCCTGGTACTTCAAGTTTTGCAATATTTGTATACACATTGCATACATAATGAAGTGCACTAGTGAAATTGCAGAACGCTGCCCGAAAGAGGCCGAAACTAGCCAAATGGCCAAAAATAGCCCAACCGTTGAATATTGCAGGTCTTCCGATGATCCCATTGCGGCAGTCAAAATTCCAGGCTTTGTCAAGGTCAGTATGTTTTTTTCTCAGGCGGGGCCACAATCTCAAGGTTAAATTCAAGTTTCCCAATGTCCTATTGTACTTCATTCGATGTACAGCCCACCCACAACACACTAGAGGTGAGGCGTGGAACATATTA